ACTCAAAATTGATACATATTACAGATACAAGCATATATTATAATACGGTAGAGCCCCCATATCCACAGATTCTGTTTCCATAGTTACACTTATCTATGGTTTACCCTGGCCTGAAAATAACCCTTAATTTTGCTTAGTAATAAAGTACAAAAGATGGTGGCAGTTGTTCGAAGTCTAACAGAATTTGTGAAGTTCTTCCCATTAGTGATAAAGTGATAATGCTCTACTTAATGTGCCTAATTTATCAATTAAACTTTACCATAGATATTTATGTAAACCAAAAATGACATGTAGGATTTGCTGGTATCCACGGTAGTTTTTGGAACATGTCACACGTAGGTACGGAGAGACTACTGCATATTTTTAGGTTCCATTAAAAATTCAGCTCACCACTATACACCATCACCCTGGTTAGTTGAGGGACTTCTTTAGCTAACCTATATAAATAACCACTTACAATGGATACATATTATAGATAGAAATGTCTATTACAGTATATTTTTAAGTTCTATAAAAGAGTCATCTCAAAAGCAGTCATTAAAAAACTCCTCCACGACATTCAATTACGTAGTTGTGTGTTTCATTCATCGACCTTGAACTCTGTACAGTATTATAGATTAGTTATGTAGCAGGAAAAGGAAATTAGACATTTAACTTAAGTGCATTCAACTACAGGTGCTCCTCAACTTGTATTCTGTTGAACCCATTTTAAGTTGAAAATATAAGTTGAATATAAATACAATATGATAAATAACTACTGTTACTGAATAAGTAAATAATAACTAACTAAATACCAGTATTGAAGAACAAAAAGGCACAATACCGTGACTGGAACAATACACAAATAACTCGCACATACAAGCTTATGATGACATTTCAGTGACTTGGACCGTTTAACCCTTTGACTGTCGCGGCCGTATATATACGTTTGCGAGGTACCGTGTTTGACGTATATATACTCATAAATTCTAGCGGCTTCAAATCAGGCAGGAGAAAGCTAGTAGGCCCACATGTGAGAGAATGGGTTGTGTGGTCAGTGTGCACCACAAAAAAAATCCTGGAGCACGCAGTGCATAATGAGAAAAAAAAAACTCCGACCGTTTTTTTTAATTAAAATGCCGACTTTGTGGTCTATTTTCGTATAGTATTTGTGGTTGTATTCTCGTTTTCTTGGTCTCATTTGATAGAATGGAAACTATATTATAGAAATGGAGGTGATTTTGATTAATTTTACTATAAAAAGAACCTGGAAATGGAGCACAAAGTACAGGAAATGTTTGATTTTTGCCGATGTTCAAAAGTGAACAAATGATGTCATTGTCCAATAAATGTCCAAATAGCCATTCTAATACGCAGTCATGAATGGGTTGATGTAATTTTTACAATTATTACAGTATTGCAGTAGTCTGCATAACAGTAAATCTTCTATTTTTTGTTTGAATAAAATTTCAAAATAAAAAGTAAGAGTAATATCACAGGGACCTGGAGACATGACTGATGAACAAAGAAAATGTTATTTTAGAGCCAGGAATGTCTGCATTGTTCATTCTGGACCTTATTTTGAAATTGTCGTATTTTTTAATTTTCGTGAAATTGGCCAAATTGCAAATTTCTGACCATGTTATTGGGTAGTTGAAATCGGTAAATGGGCAGTTTCTTGTACTCAATCGATAGAAAAAATAGAGTTCTGAAGAAATAGTTATGAGTTTGGTTGACTGGAATAACGGAATTAGCCGAAAATAGGGCTCAAAGTGGGCGAAATTGCCGATTTTTAAATATCGCCGAAGTTGCTAACTTCGCGAGAGCGTAATTCCGTCAGTTTTCCATCAAATTTCGTTTTTTTGGTGTCTTTACAATCGGGAAAAGATTCTCTATCATTTCATAAGAAAAAATAATTTTTTTTTCTTATATTTTGCGACACCAGAAGCAACTTCAGGATTTGGCCCTTCGACAGTCAAAGGGTTAAGAGTCACACAGAAGAGTGAGAGTCGGTATATGTAGATGAAGAGGACAGGTGAAAGAGCAGGAATAAGTAGAAGTGATAATGTTGGTAGAGCAAATAGCAGTAGTGGTGGTATTTGCCACAAGATAGAAAGACGATCAAAGGCGGCAATAGTAATAGTAGTAGAAAAGGTAGAAGGGGGAAATAGTAATAGTAGTAGAAAAGGTAGAAGCAGAAATAGTAGAAAAAGAGTAGCAATGGTGGTAGTGGTGGTGGTATTAGTAGCGGTGGTACTTGTACTAATAGTAGTAGTAAGTAGCATAAGTAGTAAGTAGTAGTAGTAAGTAGTAGTAAGTAGTAGTAGTAAGTAGTAGTAGTAAGTAGTAGTAGTAAGTAGTAGTAGTAAGTAGTAGTAGTAAGTAGTAGTAGTAAGTAGTAGTAGTAAGTAGTAGTAGTAAGTAGTAGTATTTAGTAGTAGTATTAGTATTAAGTAGTAGTAGTATTAAGTAGTAGTAGTATTAAGTAGTAGTATTTAGTAGTAGTAAGTAGTAGTAGTAAGTAGTAGTAGTAAGTAGTAGTAGTTAAGTAGTAGTAGTAGTAGTAGTAGTAGTAGTAGTAGTAGTTAGTAGTATAGTAGTAGTAAGTAGTAAGTAGTATAGTAGAAGTAGTAGGTAGTAGTAAGTAGTAAGTAGTAGTATAAGTAGTAGTAGTTAGTAGTAGTAGTAGTAGTAGTAAGTAGTAGTAGTAAGTAGTAGTAGTAGTAGTAGGTAGTAGTAGTAAGTAGTAGTAGTAGTAGTAGTAGTAGTAGTAGTAGTAAGTAGTAGTAGTAGTAGTAGTAGTAGTAGTAGTAGTAGAGTAAGTAAGTAGTAATGTAAGTAGTAGTGTAAGTATAGTAGTAGTAGTAAGTAGTAGTAGTAGTAGTAGTATAGTAGTAGTAGTAGTAGTAGTAGTGAGATTGTAGTAGTAGTAGTAGTAGTAGTAGTGTAAAGTAAAAGGACACAAGTGCAACTAATGTGACATTTATTGTGGCAACGTTACGCTCTCAGGAGCTTTATCAAGCCATTACAAACAATACATGGACACAGAAGGTATATAAAGGTTCAGAGTGAGGTGCAATACTAGTGAGGTACCATTTCGATGTTCACTAGTGTTAATGTTTGTAATGGCTTGATAAAGCTCCTGGAGAGCGAAATGTTGCCACAATAAATGTCACATTAGTTGCACTTGTGTCCTTTTACTTTACATATTGTCGGTAATTCTACCAACTTTATTACAGTAGTAGTAGTAGCAGCAGCAGTAGTAGGTAGTAGTGGTAGAGGGAGGTCATGTCCCTCTCAGATCCAACGATTCTCACTTGAAAAGGTTGTCCAAGGTGTTTTCTCTTCTGTACCAAGATGCCATTGTGTTGCAGTGTCTGACAGAGTGATTATCAAATGGTATACAATACCGACAGGTTGGTAGATAAGACACGTAGGCAACATTTAGGCAACTGAGGGACTGACAACCTCAAATCTACGACTTCAAGGGTGATGGACTGATTACATCGTCTTCTCATCTCTACTGCTCCTGCCTACTTTCTGTACTCGACTGAGGAAGCCTACTGTGTAGGCGAAACGTTTCAGAATAAAGTTGCCTAAATGTTGCCTATGTGTCTTATCTACCAGAGCTAAGGGTGCACAAGGAGCACTGCAGGAGAGCTAAGGGTGCACAAGGAGCACTGCAGGAGAGCTAAGGGTGCACAAGGGGCACTGCAGGAGAGCTAGGGTGCACAAGGGGCACTGCAGGAGAGCTAAGGGTGCACAAGGAGCACTGCAGGAGAGCTAAGGGTGCACAAGGAGCTGCAGGAGAGCTAAGGGTGCACAAGGGGCACTGCAGGAGAGCTAAGGGTGCACAAGGGGCACTGCAGGAGAGCTAAGGGTGCACAAGGGGCACTGCAGGAGAGCTAAGGGTGCACAAGGAGCACTGCAGGAGAGCTAAGGGTGCACAAGGAGCACTGCAGGAGAGCTAAGGGTGCACAAGGAGCACTGCAGGAGAGCTAAGGGTGCACAAGGAGCACTGCAGGAGAGCCTAAGGGTACACAAGGGGCACTGCAGGAGAGCTAAGGGTGCACAAGGAGCACTGCAGGAGAGCTAAGGGTGCACAAGGAGCACTGCAGGAGAGCTAAGGGTGCACAAGGAGCACTGCAGGAGAGCTAAGGGTGCACAAGGGGCACTGCAGGAGAGCTAAGGGTGCACAAGGGGCACTGCAGGAGAGCTAAGGGTGCACAAGGGGCACTGCAGGAGAGCTAAGGGTGCACAAGGAGCACTGCAGGGAGCTAAGGGTGCAAAAGGGGGCACTGCAGGAGAGCTAAGGGTGCACAAGGGGCACTGCAGGAGAGCTAATGATGTACAAGGAGCACTGCAGGAGAGCTAAGGGTGCACAAGGAGCACTGCAGGAGAGCTAAGGGTGCACAAGGGGCACTGCAAGAGCCAAGGGTGCACAAGGAGCACTGCAGGAGAGCTAAGGGTGCACAAGGGGCACTGCAGGCAAGCTAAGGGTGCACAAGGGGTAGCACCAAAAACACACTGGGACAAAAATGGACAAAACACCCTAGGCAGAAAAAAGGAAACAAAGAAACAAGGTAAACCAGGAAAGGAGAAGAGGTAGGGAGAGAATATAATAAAGAAGCACTGCAGCAGGCCTGTCCCATACTAGGCAAGTCCTTCTCAAACCCAAACTCACTAAATAAAAATAGAATCCGCAGAACAGGCAACATATTCACAAACACTATCTCATGCTGAAGGAGACTCAAACCTACGAACCTTGAGACAAGGTACACAGTGCTCTGCTCTCCATACTACAATTGTCAATACTCTGGCGTCCAACTAACGCTAGATGTTTGATCCAAAGCAGCCAGCATTCAGGAAGGTAGCTCAGAGTTTTTCATCTCATCCCCTGCATGCATCGACCAATGAGAGATTTTTTTACAATGTTCAGAATTGGCAGAACAGGCGAAATATTCACAAATGCTACTCTCGGGTAAGAGACAACCAGTGGTGGATAAAAATAGATTACTTACCTGAGCATAGAACAAGATTTCGAACCTATATCTTGACAGCTATGTTGAATACCACATACTAGGTAAGGAAGGAAGTGTAAAATGGAGCCCTTATCTACAATGGAGCCGCTCACACCCTGGGCCACCTTGATACCATCACCTTCCCTGCAACAAAAATATATATCACATTGCAACCGTAATCAAGAAAAAATAAATTCAACTACTTAAACACTTTTAAAGGAACAAAAAAGGTACAATACCGTGACTGGAACAACGCACAAGTAACCTGCACATAGGAGAAAAACTTATGATCAGGTTTTGGTCCGATCTGGACCCGTGTGTGCCTAGTTAATGTCCAAGTTGGACCAAAACAAGTTTCTTTCACCTATACCTGGAGTATACCTGCAGGGGTTTTTAGGGGTCAACACCCCCCAGTCTGGTCCATGACCAGGCCTGGTGGTGGATTGGGACCTGATCAACCAGGCTGTTACTGTTGGCTGTACATAAACCAACATACGACCCACAGTCCAGCTGGTCAGGTACTGGCTTTAGCAAATTATTTGTGCATTAAGCTTTTTTTTTTTTTTTGCAAAAAAATTATGATGGGGGGGAAAAAAAAAAAAAAACATATGGTATAAAAAGGTAAGACTGGTTAACACAACAAACCATATAAGTAATCAGAGAACACACTATTACAATCTACTACTTTATGAACCATCATAGTTAAGTAAGTTTACTTAGGCACAGGTAGACATAAGTACAATTCATAGTGTAAAGTACGCACCAGGATAACCCAAAAAGTCGGGTTCTCGACCCCATACAGTAAGCAAAAATTGCCAGTGGGTGGAAAGAGTATTTTCTCAATACTGAATGTGTCTAAAACACCTGATAACGTGTTTACACCATTATATATTAAGTGCTCAACACAGCTAGGCATAAAAATAAAGTAAAATACACCATACATACAATACTTAGCGTATTCTGTGGATTAAATGCATTTCTTTTTTCATAAAATGTTTCCAAAAACCATCTGCGTCCTATAGACTGAAGGTCAGTGACGGGAGGTATAAGTTTAGGGTGTGTGGTAGGCTGTAGCTCTCCCAGGTGTATCTAGAAATCTGGAGTTTATCTGGAAAGAGTTCCGGGGGTCAACGCCCCCGCGGCCCGGTCTGTGACCAGGCCTCCTTAGGTCATTGTCCCAGGATGCGACCCACACCAGTCGACTAACACCCAGGTACCCATTTTACTGATGGGGAACATAGACAACAGGTGGAAAGAAACACGTCCAATGTTTCTACTCTGGCTGGGAATCGAACCCAGGCCCTCGCCGTGTGAAGCGAGAGCGTTAACCACCAGGCCACCAGAGCCTGGTACGTCTGATGCCCAGCCACTGAAACTACAACAAGTCCTATAAGCCGCGTCTTATAAGCCACGAAATACGGTACCTTTAACCCTTAAACGGTCCAAACAGAATAAGCCGCGTCTTATAAGCCACGAAATACGGTACCTTTAACCCTTAAACGGTCCAAACAGATCGACGTTCAAATTCGTAGCTACAAAAGTAGATCTACTTTTTTTTACATTTTCAAATATAACCTTAAAAAATGTAGATAAAAGTTTTTTTTACACGTTTTCAAATGTAAAACAAAAAAGATAATCTACATTTTTTTTTACATACTTTCAAATGTTGAAAAAACATATATATACGTTTGGACCGTTTAAGGGTTAACCCTTAAAATGTCCAAACGTAGGTCTACATTTGCATCGCTAGTGCTCCAAACGTAGATCTACTTTTTTTAATTTGAATGCTTGTAAAAAAAACAGATCTACATTCAGAACGCTAGCAGTTCAAACAGATCTACATTTGGACAGTTTAAGGGTTAATATGCACCAGTCGCCCTTCCCTCACACAAATGTTGGTAATATGTTAGAAAAGCGGTAAAAGCAACGAACAATGACTCGGTTTCACTGATGACGCCCTGAATGATTATAGTTATGCAATTTTGGAAGAAAAATAATCTCTATAATCACCCTAGTATTGGCAAAATGAAAATTTAAAATATTTTTTATTTTAGAAATTATATTCATATATTCTCAAATCCATACATATGTATACAAAAACAAAGTACTAATGTAAATGTAGACCTAGTACAGTGGACCCCCGGTTTACGATCACCTCCCAATGCGACCAATTATGTAAGTGTATTTATGTAAGCGCGTTTGTACGTGTATGTTTGGGGGTCTGAAATGGACTAATCTAATTCACAATATTCCTTATGGGAACAAATTCGGTCAGTACTGGCACCTGAACATACTTCTGGAATGAAATATCGTAAACCGGGGGTCCACTGTACGTATATCTATCAACATTAATAGTATGGTATATCAAGTTTGTTATACTCACTAGACAGTACAGGACCTAGTATATCTATCAACACTAATGGCTTGGTATAACACTCTTGTTATACCCACTAGACAGGTCTTATTATATACACAAGCACACTACGTGAGCAAATTAACAAAAAATTTCCTACAATGGCTGAGCGACTAAGGGGGAAATCACAGAAAATGATCGATTTTTTAGCAACTACACACAAAAAAGTGGTTACTAGTCCTTTGTTCCTGATATTTTAGGTATCTAAGTTACTGGGAATACTTTAACTGTACTCCTTGAAACACAGGGAAGAAAGATACATCATAATTTACGCTTGGAAAAGTTAAGAATGTGGGGTCCCAAATCTGCACACAGAAATTGCTCCCTTCTTTTTTTGGGTCACCCCACCCCATCTGAAAAAGAAACACTTCCATCATCATTCACACCATCACTGTCTCACTAGAGGCATGCACATATAACAGTCTACATGTCACTGCAAACAGCAACTATCCCAAATCCTTCCTTTAGAGTGCAGGCACTGTACTGAATGTTAGTAATAATAATGATACAGTGGAACCTCAAAAATCGAACTGCTCCCAACACAACCAATTATGTAAGTGTATTTTTGTAAGTGCTTCTATAAGTGTATTTTTGAGGGTCTGAAATAGACTAACCTAATTTACATTATTCCTCATGGGAATAAATTCATTCGGTAAAGGCACTCGAACAGCCTTCTGGACTGAAGAAAGTTCGATATTTGAGGTTCCACTGTATCTATTTCTACGTGATACAACTTAGACCATAGTTGACATCAATGACATACTAGTATACAGAAAGTCCCTGGTTATGTCCCCAGGATGCCACCCACACCAGTCCACTAACACCCAGGTACCTACTTATTGCTAGGTGAATAGTGACAGTAGGTGTCCTAAGGAAACACATCCAAATGCTTCCGCCTGTACCAGGGTTCGAACCATGGACCTCAACACGTGAGCCAAGTGCACTACCAACCCAACTAGCTGTGTTACATATTTATAAGAGAAAGGAAAGATTAGCGACTCCTGTCAAGAGTGCAAAATATTTAACTAGTTCATCTCACACATTTAAGACAGAATATGTACCTCACTAGTCTCAGACTTGAGCTTCTGGCAAGACAGTGACAGTGTGAATGATGGTGAAAATGTTTGTTTTTCAGGTCACCCTACCTCAGTGGGAGATGGTCAGAGAATGACAGCTAGAGCAGACTTACTGCCTGTACCAAGTACTTTCTGCTCCCTCCCGACCAATCTCACCGACCTATACAATAAGTCTTCGACTTACAAACACGTTGAAAATCATTATTATATCATTATGATGTATAATATACACCTACCATCCGACTTACGACCGAGTTCGGTTCCGAGAAACCGGTCGTAAGTCGAAATGGTCGTAAGTCGAAATGGTCGTAAGTCGAACTTTACTACTGAATATCAACAAAACATTTTTGTAATGACTTTATTTTATTGTTTTATTTTGGTATTTCATGTTTTACTTTGCTTTTTATGCAGTTAGTATTGTATTTTATACTGTAAGGTTTAGGATAAACACTGTGTACAACACAAATAGTTGTTTATTTCCCAGAAATTTGGCATAAAAAACACGGTCGTAAGTCGAGCAGGTCGTAAGTCGGATGGTAGGTGTAATTATTATACACATTTATAAGTCGAGGACTTACCCTCTTTAAAACTAGTCAAAGTACAGGAGAGCCCTGCATATACATCATTATCTTTTCAATGTTCTACATCTTCACTGACTTCAAATTGAGCCACTGTTCGTTGTTTCACCAGCTGGAGATGGAACAACGGCTGAAGTGAAAGCCAACGAAAACGTGGAACACCAAAAACAGGCGCTGTATGTGGGGCCCAGCTATATTAGCTTCAATGATGCTACCTGGCAGATATTTCCACTCATATACAATTCAACTGCCAAAGCACATGAATAAGTACCTGGCCAACTGGGCTGTGGCTCCTATGTCGGTTTATGTGCGGCCAGCAGTAACAGCCTGGTTAATCGGGCCCCGATCCACCGCCAGGCCCGGCTGATCGGGCCCCGATCCACCGCCAGGCCCGGCTGATCGGGCCCCGATCCACCGCCAGGCCCGGCTGATCGGGCCCCGATCCACCGCCAGGCCCGGCTGATCGGGCCCCGATCCACCGCCAGGCCCGGCTGATCGGGCCCCGATCCACCGCCAGGCCCGGCTGATCGGGCCCCGATCCACCGCCAGGCCCGGCTGATCGGGCCCCGATCCACCGCCAGGCCCGGCTGATCGGGCCCCGATCCACCGCCAGGCCCGGCTGATCGGGCCCCGATCCACCACCAGGCCTGGTTGATCAGGTCCTGATCCACCACCAGGTATACGCCAGGAACAAATACACAACTAAAAGCAACAAGTGAGGGGAGACTATAGCAAACAGGCTGCTAGGGTAGATATCAACAAATATTTGCAGACTAATTCTTGTGATCTACTTGATAGACTTGTCTTACCCCCCTAGATACATGAAACCACTTGGAGCCTGAACCATTGATGAAGGACTGGTAGAGCTTGGTGGAAGTTTGCATGCAAAGTTGAACCAGCTTGATGAACCTCCTCTGAGCACAACAATAAAATGGAAAAATGCACATGCAGTATAATGTGTGTGACTGAAAAATACACAAATGCAACATAATGCAATTGACTGGAAAAACTGAAAAGCAGTATAATGCAATTGTTTGACTGGAAAAATTGACAAAAGCAGTATAATGCAATGGCTTGACTAGAGAAAGAGACAAAAGCAAGATAAAGCTATTATCTCAACCACAACAAATTATCTACCATGCCAAGACACAACCAGTCATAACAATGTAGATAAATGGTTCAGAGAATCAACAAGTTGATAGATTAGACATGTACAACACTTGGGTATCTTTATTGTGGAAATGTTTTGCCAGACAGCGGCTTCATCAGCCTAATGCGAAGGAGAATGGTGAAGATCAGGAGTTTGAGGTAATCAGTCCCTCAGTCCATCAATTTTTTCAAGACTGAGGGACTGATTACCTCAAACTCCTGATCTTCACTCTTCTTGATATTGGATTGATGAAGCCACTGTGTTGCAAAACATTTCCACAATAAACATACCCAAGTGTTGTACATGTGTTTATCATAACATGCAATATCTACTCATAAATCTGTAAAATGTAACAAACACTGATGCTACCAAAATCTAGATAAAACCAAGATAATGCTAGAACTCTTCTAGTAGGAGTAGAAACTAGAAATATCAGAATCCAAGATAGTTTGCTTGCTATTTTTATCCTTACAGAGTAAGCCAAGTTTCACTGTACAACATTTATAAATAGCAGCAATATTTAAGATAATCTTAGTGGAGGGAAGGAGGGGGTAGGGGTTGTCCTAGGAAAGGTTAGAGGGAAGGGCTAAGAGAGGTTGTGTGTGCAAGGGGTTCGGACATACAGCAAGCATGTGTGTGTTAACTAGCAGTAAGTGGAGATGAATGGTTTTTGGGACCTGACAAGCTGTTGGAGTGTGAGCAGGGTAATATTTTGTGAAGGGACTGAGAGAAACTGGTTAGTCGGACTTGAGTCCTGGAAATGAGAAGTACAATGCCTGCACGTTACAGGAGGGGTTTGGGATACTGGCAGTTTGGAGGGACTTCTGAAGTGTCGTATCTGAGCGCCTCTGCAAAGATAATGATTATGTATGAGTGAGGAGAGTGTTGAATGATGAAAGCATTTTTCTTTTTGGGGATTTTCTTTCTTTTTGGGTCACCCTGCCTTGGTGGGAGACAACCGAAGTGTTGAGGAAAAAAAAAAGTAACAAGTGAACTGCATATGCATTTTATCACTCTGGGATGCTTTAAATGGCATAAAATATTGTGTGTGGGCGGGTTGTCCTGGTATGGTAGATATGGTAGCCTGAGCCGGGCTGGCTACCATACCTACCACACCTGATTTCTTACACTAAATACTACTCATCTCATCCTACATTAAGTCTACAAATATTTTAAGATACGTAATGAGCGTACTATATGCATATTTCACGGTTTTATTGTTTTTATAATGCCTAGTTCTATTGCTAACTTACTATATGTTCGTGTAAACTTGTTATCTAGTATTTAACCCTTTGACTGTCGCAACCCCCAATCCTGAGGTGTCTCCTGGTGTCGCAAAATTTAAAAAAAAAAAAAAAATTCTTATGAAATGATAGAGAATCTTTTCCCGATTGTAATGACACCAAAAAAACTAAATTTGATGGTAAACTGACGGAATCATGCTCTCGCGAAGTTAGCGACCTCGGCGCTGTTTACAAATCGGCATTTTCGCCCACTTTGAGCCCTATTTTCGGCTAATTCCATTGTTCCAGTCGCCCAAACTCATAGCTATTTCTTTAGAACTCCATTTTTTCTATCGATTGAGTACAAGAAACTGCCCATTTACCGATTTCAACTACCTAATAATGTGGTCAGAAATTTGCAATTTGGCCAATTTCACGAAAACTAAAAAATGACAATTTCAAAATAAGGTCCAGAATGAACAATGTAGACATTCCTGGCTCTAAAATAAGATTTTCTTTGTTCATCAGTCACGTCTCCAGGCCCCTCTGATATTACTCTTGCTTTCTATTTTGAATTTTTATTCAAACAAAAAATAGAAGATTTATTATTATGCAGACTACTGCAATACTGTAATAATTGTATAAATAACATCAACCCATTCATGACTGTATATCAGAATGGCTAGTTGGACATTTATTGGACAATGACATCATTTGTTTACTTTTGAACATTGGCAAAAATCAAACATTTTCCCTACTTTGAGCTCCATTTCTAGGTTCTTTTTATAGAAAAATCAATCAAAATCACCTCTATTTCTATGTTTTCCATTCTATCAAATGAGACCAAGAAAACGAGAATACAACCATAAATACTATACGAAAATAGACCACAAAGTCGGAGTTTTTTTTTTCTCATTATGCATTGCGTGCTCCAGGATTTTTTTTTGTATGGTGCACACTGACCACACAGACCCATTCTCTCACATGTGGGCCTACCAGCTTTCTCCTGCTTGATTTGAAGCCGCTAGAATTTATGAGTATATATACGTCAAACATGGTACCTCGTAAGACGTATATATACGGCCGCGACAGTCAAAGGGTTAAATGCATTTTTAAGTGAAAAAAAAGGTGTTCCACTTTACAGCAATTTCTGCTGTACAGCAGTAGCCTGGAACCTAACCTGCCGTATAAGTGGGGTCCTACTGTACTGTATTTTTTTCACAACATCAGTCATGTCCCATCAAGGTAGGGTGACCCAACGGGGAATATTTACCATTCATTCAATAGCTATCCTGCTAGAAGGTCAGACAGAACAATTCATATGACTTTCCAAACTTTAAAAACTCCATCCAGGACCAGTTTCCCTGAATCCCTTCATGTTACCTTGCCCACTCCAACAGCACATCAAACCTGTAGTACTCCAGTCTCCACTCACCAACATCTGTTGAATGCTCTAAGCCCTACCACTTAAACCTTCAACTGTCGCAAGCCCCTTTCTGAAACTGTCATTCTATGTTGCAAAATTTTTGGAAAAAAAAAAAAATATTTTTCCTTATGAAATGATAGAGAATCTTTTCCCGGTGGTAATGACACCAAAAGTACGAAATTTGGTAGAAAACTCACTGAATTACGCTCCCGCGAATTTAGCGGTCTCGGCAACATATATGCATTGGCGATTTCGCCGACTTTGAGCCCTGTTTGTGGCCAATTCCATTGTTCCAGTTGAACAAACTCATGGCTATTTCTTTAGAACTCCAGTTGAGTACAAGAAACCGCCCATTTACCGATTTGAACTACCCAATAAAGTGATAGGAAATTGGCAATTTGGCCAATTTCACGCAAATTAAAAGAGATGCCAATTTCAAAATAGGGTCCAGAATAAATAATGTAGACATTCTTGGAACTAAAATAACATATACTCTGTTCATTAGTCACGTCTCATAGCCCCTCTCATATTACTATTGCTTTCTATTTTAATTTTTTATTCATACAAAAAAATACAAAATTTACTGTTATGCAGACTACTGCATTATTGTGAAAATGGTATAAATAATATCAGTGCACTAGTGAAAGAATATTAGACTCCCCAGTTGACGTGTATGGAACGTGTGGTGTGATTTGCTTACTTCATGAACATTGGTAAAAATCGAACATTTCTGCTACTTTGAGCTCAATTTCAAGGTTGTTTTCATTGTGAAACTAATCAAAATCATCTCTATTTCTGTAATGTGTTTTCCATTTTATCACTTGAGACCATGAAAACGAGAATACAACGATAAATACTATACGAAAATACACCTCAAAATCGGCGTTTTAATCCAAAAAAACGTTTTTTTTTCTCATTATGCACTGTGTGCTACAGGATTTTTTTGTGATGCACACTGACCACACAGACCCATTCTCCCACATGTGGACCTACCATCTTTCTCCTGCTCGATTTGAAGCCGCTAGAATTTACGCGTATAAATATGTCCGAAACAGCGGCACGTAAGACGTATATATACGACCAAAACAGTCAAAGGGCTAAAGTGCAGGCATTGTACTTCCCATTTCCAGGACTCAAGTCTGGCTATATAAAAATAACCGGTGTCCCTGAATCCCTTCACTAAATATTACCCTGCTCAGACTTCAACAGCTCGTCATGTCCCAAATACCATTCGTCTCCATTCACTCCTGTCTAACACACTCACGAAATGCTTGCTGGAAGTCCAAGCCCCTCGCCCACAAAACCTCCTTTACCCCAATGTGTTTGTAAGTTAAGGACTTACTATACCAGTATTAAAATGTGAATAAATGAATACAGGTTATGAACTTGCTGTCTTCATGCTGGGTGATTATCTTAAGTTTCATCTCCAAAATAATTGGCTGCCCTACCATTGTAAAGTTGAAATATCCTAAGTTGAATCATTTTAAGTCGAGAAGCACCTGTATATTTTGTTTCATACCTCTGAACGCTTTCGAGAGTTCTCATACTCTCACGGAGATATACTTGCTCCCTCACTCTTTTCTGTTAGTGCGACTTTATAAATGGTCTATGTCAGACCAAAACATCATTGTAGATGAGCGGAAATATCCTATATATGGGTTATTTAAATACTATTTCAAGTTGTTTTTAATGAATGAGCAAGCCTAGAATCTAGCAAGGAGTAGAGGATCATTCTGGTTCATACCCTGGGCACAATTACTCACCCATGGAAGTAGCGGTCAGCTGCAGATCCCTGAGTATCCTTGCGTTCCATTGCTTCTAGCGAGCCCATGCCTCGATACTTCTTAAGACGGACTCCATTACTGAAGAAATATTCTCCTGGAGCTTCAGAAGTACCAGCCAACATTGACCCCATCATCACTACAACACAGAAATTAAGCAAACATGTACACATTAAAATAACATGATCATTAACAATAAAAATGCTGTGTTGGAAATAGCATAAAATACCAACCTTAGAGTATTAATACACATGCAATAGTTGGGTATCTTTATCGATGAAATGTTTCACCTACACAGACTTCAGTCAAATACAGAGGCAGCAGTAGTATTCAAAGAAAGATAATGTAATCAGTCCATCAACCATGAATTTAGTAATTCATACAGAAGGGGTTACTAGCATCTTGCTCCCGGCATTTTAGTCGCCTCTTGCAATATGCACAGCTTGCAGAGGAAATTCTTCTCCACTTCCCCATAGATGAAAGGAAATATATAAGAACTATACACAAACTTTTTTTGACACCGACTGCCTCCCACTAAGGCAGGGTCACCAGAAAAAGAGGAAACACTTTCACCATCACTCACTCAATCACCATATTGCCAGAGGCGTGCAAACATAATTCAGAATGCCCTCCAAACTGCAATATTCCTGTTCCTCCTTCAAAGTGTACAGTAGGACCCCCATATCTGTGGGGCAGACGTTCCAAGTATCTGCCATGGATACCGAAACTGCAGATAGTAGCAAACCTTATATGCAAGTCATTTTTTTGTTTATGTACATTTTTTTTTTTTTTCAACAAGTTGGCCGTCTCCCACCGAGGCAGGGTGACCCAAAAAAGAAAGAAAATCCCCAAAAAGAAAATACTTTCATCATTCAACACTTTCACCACACTCACACATTATCACTGTTTTTGCAGAGGTGCTCAGAATACAACAGTTTAGAAGCATACACATATAAAGATACACAACATATCCCTCCAAACTGCCAATATCCCAAACCCCTCCTTTAAAGTGCAGGCATTGTACTTCCATTTCCAGGACTCAAGTCCGTATATGAAAAAAAACCCGGGTTTCCCCTGAATCCCTTCCTAAATATTACCCTGTAAACTCCAACGATCGTCAGCCCAAGTTATTCATCTCCTTCACGTGACTATTAAAAAGTTTAATTGAAAAAATAACACGCAATAAGTGGGAAAAATTTTAAAAAAACAGTTTTGCTGAGGGAAGACATTCATATTTTCTTGACTTTAAAAAGAATTTCCCCCACCATACAACTTAAAAATTTTGGGGCCCTTTATTAGAAAATTAAGGGTTACTTTCAGGCACAGTAATTGGGGTAACTAAAAACCACAGATACCAGACCCACTGATACAGGGGTCCTACGTATTTCCCCAAAAAATACAAACCCTTAATAACCCAAACAAACTGTACCCAAATTCATTCAAGAAACACTTTTAAACTCTTAAGAACACAACCCACTGATTGTAAAACTTTCTCAAAATTGCAAGCTTCATTTTGAGAAATACCTGAACTGAGAGTCGATGTTACATTTTTCATGCTCTTGTCCTTTCTACTTAAAAAAAAATTGGCCACTCTCTTTCGACTAAAAAAGATGTTTTAACCAAATTTTAAAAACCCAAAAATTTTGGGAAAAAACAAGCGTCCTCCTTTTTTATTTTACAAAGTTTTTTTTTAGAAAATTTTAAGATGATTTAGGTAGTAGGTTGGTAGAAACCCCGCCCCGGGGGAGGTACTAACGCCCTGCAAAGAAAGTGTAAAAAAAAGCCGGTAATTGTTTTACATGAGGGTAGAATTGCTGGTGTCCTTTTTTTGTCTCATAAACTGCAAGTTTCGATTTCTTGCTATTTCATTTACCTTAGGTCACATAACATACATGTGCAAGCATATAAACAACACCCCTCGGGTTTTCTGCTTTTTTCTTTCAGTTCTTTTTCTTGTTTATTTTTTTATCTCCAGGGGGAAGTGGAACGAATTCTTCCTCTGTAAGCAATGGTGTTGAAAGAGGCATAAAATCCGGGAGAAAGGGGGTAGTAACCCCATCTCCTGTATAAATTCTAAATGAAAAAGGAGAAACTTTCGTTTTTCCTTTTTGGGCCACCCCCCCTTGGTGGGATAGGGCCCAATTGTTGAGAAGATTTTTATAGACAATATTATTTTATAGACAAATTTATTTTATATACGGCTTGAGCCCTGGAAAGGGAAGTACAATGCCTGCATTTTTAAAGGGGGTTTGGGATATTGGCATTTTGGAGGGATATGTTTTTTCTTTATATGTTTTTCTTCTGACTGTTGTATTCTGACACCTCTGCAAAAACAGTGATAATGGGAGGTGGGGAAAATGTTTAATGATGAGAAAGATTTTCTTTTTGGGGATTTTCTTTTTTTTTTGGGGCACCCTTCCCCGGTGGGGGCGGCCCACTTGTTGAAAAAAAAAAAAAAAAAAAAAATTAAATGAACAAGTGCCCGTTTCCCCCCACACAGGGTGACCCGAAAAGAAGAAACACTATCATCACTCACCCATTATTTTAAAAAATGCACAAAGGGGGTTTCGTTGCAAGAATCATTTTAAGCTGAAAAATCCAGTCAAATAAGTATATGATAAAATAATAAAACTACTTCACTGAAAAAAATAAAAAAATTACTATAATTAAATACCAGTATCAAAAAGTCAATAAATGAAACAAGTTTATCCTATCAAAAATACACTTCTGTGCAGTACGTAATTTTACAGAGCAAAATGAAAAGGTTAACAGTGCATTTTTTGTTTTCCCAAGGTAAGTACCTTTTTAAAGTTTTAAATACAGAAACTTCACTAACAAAAATGTTGGGGCCTCCTGCATTGTGTTTTAAAAAAAATATATTAACACAATACAGAAGATTTCAAAGTGTTTATAAGTTGAGGGGTTACGAAACCACTCAAAAATGTAAAGGGAAATTTGTAAATCAAACCATGGTAAAAACAAAAGGGGCAATTGTAACAACATAGCGACCTGTAAGCCCGATGCCCCAAACCTTTTAATATGCCCACGGTGAATTCCACCTTTTGCCAGCTGGCCCCCAATCGTTGGCTATTCTGCAACCTAAAAAATTTCAAAAAGGCCTAACAAATTTATAAGCAAATGAAAAACTTACACGATCTTAAAAAACGACAGAACACTTTAATTCAACAATCATACACAAACCCGGTAAGGGGGGGTTAGAACCCGGGAATGACTGTAAAGCTCGAGGCCAGTCGTGAACCATGGGCCCGTGGCTCAATAACATTTATTCAACTAGGGTATTTATATTTAATCCCCCTCCCGACTTGAGTCCTGGGGGTGGGGAAATACAGTTCATACTTGAAGGAGGGGCGATGTTGATTTGTTAACTGGTGTAGGCCATCTCTGGCAAAACAGTGGTATGAACTAGATTTTCCCCTAAGGCTTTTTTATAGTGATGAGTACGTTTGGGGCAAGGAGGGAGAGAGTGTTTAGTTAGAAAGGTAGAAATATAGGGAAAAGAGGAAAAAGGAAATTTCCAAAAGATTTTTTTTCTCTCCCAAATCTCTACTGTGAAATCTCCTGTTTCTGCCTTCCCATATTTCCAATCTTTCTAACTCATCAACTGCTCCAATCCCTTTGACATCAAACTTTCTTCATGCCAAAAAATAACGCCTTGGCGTATTTTAATTTTTTAAACCCCTCCTCCCATAGGCCTCTGGTGTCATCTTTTTTAGGCTGAGAATGAAGATTAAACACACAGCAACAGTTGGGTATCTTTTTTGTTGGAACGTTTCGCCCACACGGTAGGCTTCTTTTAGTCAAAATACAGAGTTAAAATAATAATCCTCTGAAGCCCTGATGTTATAAGAGGCGACTAAAATGCCAGGAGCAAAAGGCTAGAACACCCCCCTGGAACATTACTAAAATTATAAAAGAATTTTTTTCTTTTTGGGGCCCCCCTGCCTTGGTGGGATACAACCCGGTTTGTTGAAAAAAGAGTTATGTTTTTCAGGATACCAAAACATTTGAAAATTAATATATAGTACATGTGTGTAAGAACCAGAAAAAACCCAAAAAAAACCAGAAAAAACGACTAATTTCTATTTGGGAGTAGGTTTTTTTTATTATTTCACACTGGCCCATTCCCCCAAGGGAGGTGGCCCCAAAAAAAAAAAAACTTTCACCATCATTCACTCCATCACTGTCTTGCCAGAAGGGGGGCTTTACACTAAGTTTTTTAAAATGCAACATTAACACCCCCCTTCAGAGGGAGGCACTGGGGCTTCCCCTCCCAGGATCAAGTCCGGGCCCGCCGGTTTCCCCGAACCCCTTTATAAAAGTTACTTTGCTCACACTCCAAAAGCACGTCAAGTTTAAAAAAAATTTTTCTCCATTCACTCCTATCAAAACCCCTCACGCATGCCTGCTGGGGAAATCCAAGCCCTCCACACAAAACCTCCTTTACCCCCCCCCTCCAACCCTTCCCAGGCCCACCCCTACCCCCCCTTTTTCCATACAGACTGATACACTCTTGAAGTCTTCTGTTTCGATCCATTCTTCTACATGTCCAAACCACCTCAACAACCCCTTTCCCTCGCCCCTGGAAAACATTTTGGTATCCCGCCCTCCCCTAACTTCAAATAGAATTCTTGCATTATTTCACACCAACATTCCCCTAAACATGACTCCCACTGCCTCCAGCCTTCTCCTGCTGCAACTTTTTCATCCCCCGTTCCACCCATTAAACGTTGGTAAAACTATATCTCATAATTCCCCTTTTTCCTCTAAGGAAAAAGTTTTTGTCTCCCAACTCCAATGCACCACTCACTTTTTTCCCCTCATCAATTCTATGTTTCCCCCATCTTTCATAGACCCATCCGTGACCGTCCACCCCCAAAATATCTGAATCGTTACTCCCCCATACTCTCCCCCCCTTTCTGATTTTCAATCTTTCATCACCTAATTTTTTTGTTATCCTCAAAACCCTTACTCTTTCCTTTATTCACCTTTAATTTTCTTCTTTTGCCCCCCCAAAACAAATTCTCCCCAAATCTCTGCAACTTCTTTTCAGAATCCCCAAGAGCACAGTGTCATCAGCAAAGAGCAGCGTGACAACCCCCACTTTGTGTGTTTCTTTATCTTTTAACTCCCGCCTCTTGCCAAGACCCTCGCATTTACTTCTCTTACAACCCCATCTAAAAATATTAAACAACCACGGTGCCATCACACATCCTTGTCAAACCCTACTTTTACTGGGAAAAAATTTTTTCCCTCTTTCCTACATACCAATTTGGGCCCTCACTACCTCGAAAAACTCTTCACTCTTTCAGAAACCTCCCCCTCCCCATACACTTGCAACTCTGCCCATTGCCCCCCCCCCCTTCCCCTTTTTTTTTTTTTTTTTTTTTTTTTTTTTTTTTTTTTTTTTTTTTTTTTTTTTTTTTTTTTTTTTTTTTTTTTTTAAAAAAAAAAAAAAAAAAAAAAAAAAAAAAAAAAAAAAAAAAAAAAAAAAAAAATTTTCCTTTTTTTAAAAGCAAAATCAAAAATTTCCCATTTTTAAACCTTTTTTTTTTTATTTCCCCCGGTTTATTTATTTTAAATGAAAAAACCCCCCCCCTAAAAAAGGTTTCTATAAAAAAGGATTCCTTTTTGAAAGTGCCCCTTTTCATAACATTTAAAACCCAAAATTTTACCCCCAAAATCTTTCCCATTTATAAATTTTTTTTAATGCAAACTTTGTTTTGGGGGGCCCAATTGAAATCTCATAAAATTTTCTTATTTTAACAAAATTTTTATAACACCCCACCTCTCAGCTTTTTTACTTTGGTTAAAATTTTTAAACTCTCCTTAACTTCCTGTGTGATGTCCCGTGTTGTTCTAATATTTAAGTTTCCTATGATTAAATCTGGTCTGGCAAAGAGGCCTGGCGTTAACATAAGAAACACACAAAGTGGGAGTTGTCACACTGCTCTTTGCGTACCTGTGCTTCTGGAGTTCTGAAGAGAAGTTGCAGAGTTGTGGATGAATTTGGTAGGTTGCAAAGAAAAAATTAAAGTGAATACAGGAAAGAGTAAGGTTTTGAGGATAACAAAAAGATTAGGTGTAGAAAATTGAATATCAGATTGGGGGGAGGGAGTATGGAGGAAAGGTGACTTTAAATTCAGATATTTGGGAATGTACGTGTCAGCGGATGGTCTATGAAAAGATGAGTGTAACATAAAATTTTGATGAGGGAAAAAGAGTGAGGGGTGCACTTTAGGAGTCTGTGGAGACAAAGAACTTGTCCTTGGAGGCAAGAGGGATGTATGAGATATATTTTTACCAACGCTCTTATATGGTGTGAAGCGTGGGTGGAATTTTGCAGCGAGAGAGGCTGGAGGGCAGTGGAGATGTCATGTCTGAGGCAATGTGTGGTGTGAATATAATGCAGAGAATTCGTATTTTGGAAAGTTAGGGAGGTCGGATTACCAAAACTGTTGTCCAGAGGGCGGAAAGGGGTTGTTGGGTGGTTCGGACTGGAGAGAATAGCGAACAGAATGAACTTCAAGAGGTATCATTTCTGTAGGGGAAAGGGGAAGGCGGGTGGGGTCGGCCTAGGAAGGGTTGGAGGAGGGGTAAGGGTTTTGTGTGCGAGGGTTTTGGACTTCAGCAGGCATGCTTGAGCGTGTTTGTGGGATGAATGGAGACAAAGGTTTTTAATATTGACGTGCTGTTGGAGTGTGGCAAAGTAACATTATAAAGGGTTAGGGAAACCGCGGGCCCGGGACTTGAGTCCTGGAGAGGGGAAGTACAGTGCTTGCACTTGAAGGAGGGTGTTAATGTTTGCAGTTTAAAAACTTAGGTAAAGCACCCTTCTGGCAAGACAGTGAGTGAATGAGGGTGAAGTTTTCTTTTTCGGGGCCCCCCTGCCTTGGTGGAATTTGGGCCCGGGTTGTGATAATAAAAAAAATAAAATAATAAATTAGGATACAACATGCCTGTTTTCCCACCAAAAGCAGGTGACCCGAAAAAAGAAGAAAACTATCATCACTCACCCCATTAGTTTGAAACATGCACAATGGGGTTGCATTGCAATGAATCATTGTAAGCTGAAAATATCTCAAGTCAAATATGAGTATATGATAAAATAAGTAAATAACTACTGTCACTGAATAAATAAACAATTACTATAATTAAATACCAGTATCAAAAAGTCAATAAATGAATACAAGTTTATCCTATCAATAAATGTACACTTCTGTGCAGTACAGTATTGTACAGAGCAAAATGAAAAGGTTAAACAGTGCATTGTCTTGATTACCCAAGGATACAGGTACCTTTGTAAAGTTGAAATACAGGAAGTCTTCAACTAACAAACATGTTAGGGGCCTCCTGCATTGTGTAATATAATAATGATATTATACACAATACAGAAGATTCTCAATGTGTTTATAAGTTGAGGACTTACTGAATCCTACGTCAAAACATCGTAAAGTGGAAATATTGTAAATCAAACCATGGTAAAGCAAGGAGCAATTGTATACAAACATAGCTGACCTGTAGATGCCCCGAGTGCCAAAGCCTTTATAATATGCCCAACGGATGAGATTCCACCATCTGCCATGACTGGCACGCCAAATCGTCTGGCGTATTCTGCAACCTGAAACATTTCAAATGGGCTAACAATTGATAAGCAAATGACAAACTTACACGAGTCTTAAACACGACAGAACACTTTAAATTCAACAATCATACACAAACCACGGTAAGGGTGGGGTTAGAACCCATGGCAAGTGACTAGTAAAGCTCGAGGCCAGTGCGTGAACCACTGGGCCAGCTGGCTACAATAACATTCATTCAACTAGGAGTATTTATATTTACATCCCACCTCCAGACTTGAGTCCTGGAGGTGGGAAGTACAGTGTCCATACTCTGAAGGATGGGTGCTGATGTTGCATTTGTTAACTGTAGTGTAGGCACATCTCTGGCAAAACAGTGGTATGAACTAGATTACCGCTAAGGCTGTTAGTATAGTGATGAGTACGTTTGGTGTCTAAGGAGTGGAGAGAGCTGTTGAGATTAGAAAGAGTAGAAATATAGGGAAGGGAGAGAACAGGAGATTTCCAAAGATTTTCTTCTCTCCCAAACTCTCTACTGTGAAATCTCCTGTTCTCTGCCTTCCCTATATTTCCAATCCTTCTAATCTCATCAACTGTCTCCAATCCTTAGACATCAAACTTACTTCATGCCAAACTAACAGCTTTGGCAGTAATCTAATTCATACCTCTCCTCCCACTATGATGCCTCTGGTGTCATCTTTATTAGGACTGAGAAAGAAGATTAAGACACACATGCAACAGTTGGGTATCTTTATTGTTGGAACGTTTCGCCTACACGGTAGGCTTCTTCAGTCAAAATACAGAGTTAAGTAAGTAATCCTCTGTAAGCCATGAGTGTTATAAGAGGCGACTAAAATGCCAGGAGCAAGAGGCTAGTAACACCACCTGTATACATTACTAAAGTTATAAGAGAATTTTTTTTCTTTTTGGGCCACCCTGCCTTGGTGGGATACAACCGGTTTGTTGAAAGAAGAGTTATGTTTATTCAGGTATACACAAAAACAGTTATGTAAGATTATCATATATAGTAGCATGTGTGTAGAGAACCTAGAATAACCCAAAAAAGCCAGGAAAAACGACTAATTTCTATTGGTAGTAGGTGTAGAAGCAAAATAAACACGTAATCAGTCCATCAACCTTGGAGAAACAGTATTTAACCCTTTGAGGGTCAGTCCAGTTATATTATGGCTAAGAAGCCAGGGTCAGTCCCACTATACTACGCCATGTGCTCAGCTCACTCAGATACACTGCGAGTGGTAAATCTGGGACTAGATATGAGAGAATGGCCCTATGTGGTAAGTGTGCACCATACAAAAAGTCCTACAGCATGCAGTGTATGAGAAAAAAAAAACTGACACTGTTTTTGGTTTAAAACAGCGACTGCAGTGTATTTTATTATGGTTATATTCTGGGATTCTTGGTCTAAATTGATAGAATGGAAAATATATTACAGAAAGAGAAATGATTTTGACTGGTTTCAGGACTGGACGTAGCTTGAAATTGAACTCAAAGTAGCAGTAATGTTCGATAAATGACCAAACCACCTCAACAACCCCTCCTCAGCCCTCTGACTAATACTGTTACTAACTCCACACCTTCTCCTAATTTCCACACTCCGAATTTTCTGCATAATATTTACACCACACATTGCCCTTAGACAGGACATCTCCACTGCCTCCAACCGTCTCCTCGCCGCAGCACTTACAACCCAAACTTCACACCCATATAAGAGTGTTGGTACTACTATACTTTCATACATTCCCTTCTTTGCCTCCATAGATAACTTTTTTGTCTCCACAATGGGCTAGTAACCCCTTTTCCTGTAAAGATTACTAAAAAGAATAAGAAGAAAATTGTCGAAGTGGGAAGTCTGAATGTGCGTGGATGTTGTGCAAATGATAAGAAAGAGATGATTGTGGATGTTATGAATGAGAAGAAACTGGATGTCCTGGCTTTAAGTGAAACAAAGCTGAAGGGGGTGGGAGAGTTTTAAATGGAGAGGAATAAATGGGATTAGGTCAGGGGTTTCAAATAGAGTTAGAGCTAAAGAAGGAGTAGCAATAATGTTGAAGGATAAGCTATGGCAGGAAAAGAGGGACTACAAATGTATAAATTCAAGGATTATGTGGAGTAAAATAAAGATTGGATGTGAAAAGTGGGTTATAGTAAGCGTGTATGCACCTGGAGAAGAGAAAAGTGTAGAGGAGAGAGAGAGATTCTGGGAAATGTTGAGTGAATGCGTGGGGAGTTTTGAATCAAGTGTGAGAGTAATGGTGGTTGGGGATTTCAATGCTAAAGTGGGTAAAAATATTATGGAGGGAGTAGTAGGTAAATTTGGGGTGCCAGGGGTAAATGTAAATGGGGAGTCTTTAATTGAGCTATGTGTAGAAAGAAATGTGGTAATAAGTAATACATATTTTATGAAAAAGAGGATAAATAAATATACAAGGTATGATGTAGCACGTAATGAAAGTAGTTTGTTAGATTATGTATTGGTGGATAAAAGGTTGATGGGTAGGCTCCAGGATGTACATGTTTATAGAGGGGCAACTGATATATCGGATCATTATTTAGTTGTAGCTACAGTTAGAGTAAGAGGTAGATGGGAAAAGAGGAAGGTGGCAACAACAAGTAAGAGGGAGGTGAAAGTGTATAAACTAAGGGAGGAGGAAGTTCGGGAGAGATACAAGCGACTATTGGCAGAAAGGTGGGCTAGTGCAAAGATGAGTAGTGGGGGGTTGAGGAGGGTTGGAATAGTTTTAAAAATGCAGTATTAGAATGTGGGGCAGAAGTTTGTAGTTATAGGAGGGTGGGGGCAGGAGGAAAGAGGAGTGATTGGTGGAATGATGAAGTAAAGGGTGTGATAAAAGAGAAAAAGGTAGCTTGAGAGGTTTTTACAAAGCAGAAGTGTTATAAGAAGAGCAGAGTATATGGAGAGTAAAAGAAAGGTGAAGAGAGTGGTGAGAGTGTGCAAAAGAAGAGCAGATGATAGAGTGGGAGAGGCACTGTCAAGAAATTTTAATGAAAATAAGAAAAATTTTTGGAGTGAGTTAAACACAAGTTAAGAAAGCCTAGGGAAAGTATGGATTTGTCAGTTAAAAACAGAGTAGGGGAGTTAGTAGATGGGGAGAGGGAGGTATTAGGTAGATGGCGAAAATATTTTGAGGAACTTTTAAATGTTGAGGAAGAAAGGGAGGCGGTAATTTCATGCACTGGTCAGGGAGGTATACCATCTTTTAGGAGTGAAGAAGAGCAGAATGTAAGTGTGGTGGAGGTACGCGAGGCATTACGTAGAATGAAAGGGGGTAAAGCAGCTGGAACTGATGGGATCATGACAGAAATGTTAAAAGCAGGGGGGGATATAGTGTTGGAGTGGTTGGTACTTTTATTTAATAAATGTATGAAAGGGGAAGGAGGAGAAGGGAAGGAGTCTGTGGAGACAAAGAACTTTGTCCTTGGAGGCAAAGAGGGGAATGTATGAGAGTATAGTTTTACCAACGCTCTTATATGGGTGTGAAGCGTGGGTGATGAATGTTGCAGCGAGGAGAAGGCTGGAGGCAGTGGAGATGTCATGTCTGAGGGCAATGTGTGGTGTGAATATAATGCAGAGAATTCGTAGTTTGGAAGTTAGGAGGAGGTGCGGGATTACCAAAACTGTTGTCCAGAGGGCTGAGGAAGGGTTGTTGAGGTGGTTCGGACATGTAGAGAGAATGGAGCGAAACAGAATGACTTCAAGAGTGTATCAGTCTGTAGTGGAAGGAAGGCGGGGTAGGGGTCGGCCTAGGAAGGGTTGGAGGGAGGGGGTAAAGGAGGTTTTGTGTGCGAGGGGCTTGGACTTCCAGCAGGCATGCGTGAGCGTGTTTGATAGGAGTGAATGGAGACAAATGGTTTTTAATACTTGACGTGCTGTTGGAGTGTGAGCAAAGTAACATTTATGAAGGGATTCAGGGAAACCGGCAGGCCGGACTTGAGTCCTGGAGATGGGAAGTACAGTGCCTGCACTCTGAAGGAGGGGTGTTAATGTTGCAGTTTAAAAACTGTAGTGTAAAGCACCCTTCTGGCAAGACAGTGATGGAGTGAATGATGGTGAAAGTTTTTCTTTTTCGGGCCACCCTGCCTTGGTGGGAATCGGCCGGTGTGATAATAAAAAAAAAAATAAATAAAAAATAATGAAAGGGGAAGGTACCTAGGGATTGGCAGAGAGCATGTATAGTCCCTTTATATAAAGGGAAAGGAGACAAAAGAGAATGTAAAAATTATAGAGGAATAAGTTTACTGAGTATACCAGGAAAAGTATACGGTAGGGTTATAATTGAAAGAATTAGAGGTAAGACAGAATGTAGGATTGCGGATGAGCAGGGAGGCTTCAGAGTGGGTAGGGGATGTGTAGATCAAGTGTTTACATTGAAGCATATATGTGAACAGTACTTAGATAAAGGTAGGGAAGTTTTTATTGCATTTATGGATTTAGAAAAGGCATATGATAGAGTGGATAGAGGAGCAATGTGGCAGATGTTGCAAGTATATGGAATAGGTGGTAAGTTACTAAATGCTGTAAAGAGCTTTTATGAGGATAGCAAGGCTCAGGTTAGGGTGTGTAGAAGAGAGAGAGAATACTTCCCGGTAAAAGTAGGTCTTAAACAGGGATGTGTAATGTCACCATGGTTGTTTAATATATTTATAGATGGGGTTGTAAAAGAAGTAAATGCTAGGGTGTTCGGGAGAGGGGTGGGATTAAATTATGAGGAATCAAATTCAAAATGGGAATTGACACAGTTACTTTTTGCTGATGATACTGTGCTTATGGGAGATTCTAAAGAAAAATTACAAAGGCTAGTGGATGAGTTTGAGAATGTGTGTAAAGGTAGAAAGTTGAAAGTGAACATAGAAAAGAGTAAGGTGATGAGGGTATCAAATGATTTAGATAAAGAAAAATTGGATATCAAATTGGGGAGGAGGAGTATGGAAGAAGTGAATGTTTTCAGATACTTGGGAGTTGATGTGTCGGCGGATGGATTTATGAAGGATTAGGTTAATCATAGAACTGATGAGGGAAAAAAGGTGAGTGGTGCGTTGAGGTATATGTGGAGTCAAAAAACGTTATCTATGGAGGCAAAGAAGGGAATGTATGAAAGTATAGTAGTACCAACACTCTTATATGGATGTGAAGCTTGGGTGGTAAATGCAGCAGCGAGGAGACGGTTGGAGGCAGTGGAGATGTCTTGTCTAAGGGCAATGTGTGGTGTAAATATTATGCAGAAAATTCGGAGTGTTAAAATTAGGAGAAGGTGTGGAGTTAATAAAAGCATTAGTCGGAGGGCAGAAGAGGGGTTGTTGAGGTGGTTTGGTCATTTAGAGAGAATGGATCAAAGTAGAATGACATGGAAAGCATATAAATCTATAGGGGAAGGAAGGAGGGGTAGGGGTCATCCTCGAAAGGGTTGGAAAGAGGGGGTAAAGGAGGTTTTGTGGGCGAGGGGCTTGGATTTCCAGCAAGCGTGCACGAGTGTGTTAGATAGGAGTGAATGGAGACGAATGATACTTGGGACCTGACGATCTGTTGGAGTGTGAGCAGGGTAATATTTAGTGAAGGGATTCAGGGAAACCGGTTATTTTCATATAGTCGGACTTGAGTCCTGGAAATGGGAAGTACAATGCCTGCACTTTAAAGGAGGGGTTTGGGATATTGGCAGTTTAGAGGGATATGTTGTGTATCTTTATATGTGTATGCTTCTAAACTGTTGTATTCTGAGCACCTCTGCAAAAACAGTGATAATGTGTGAGTGTGGTGAAAGTGTTGAATGATGATGAATGCATTTTCTTTTTGGGGATTTTCTTTCTTTTATGAGTCACCCTGCCTCGGTGGGAGACGGCCGACTTGTTGAAAAAAAAAAATATATATACTTCTTTTTAATTCTTGTTCTTGTTTATTTCCTCTTATCTCCATGGGGAAGTGGAACAGAATTCTTCCTCCGTAAGCCATGTGTGTTGTAAGAGGCGACTAAAATGCCGGGAGCAAGGGGCTAGTAACCCCTTCTCCCGTATAAATCACTAAATTTAAAAGAGAAACTTTCGTTTTTCTTTTTGGGCCACCCTGCCTCGGTGGGATACGGCCGTTGTGTTGAAAAAAAGAAATATACCTTCACGCACCACTTGCCTTTTTTCCCTCATCAATTCTATGATTAACCTCATCTTTCATAAATCAGGAGAGTCTTCACAGTTCGTTGAAGGGCGACCTGAAGTGTGATGTTATCACACTTTAGACAAGACAGCATTTGAATGAATGATGGTGAATGCATTTTTCTTTCTCTGGCCACCCCGCATCGGCGCTCTCCCTGGCCACCCACCCTCGGCGCTCTCTGGCCACCCCGCCTGGGCGCTCTCTGGCCACCCCGCCTGGGCGCTCTCTGGCCACCCCGCCTGGGCGCTCTCCCCGGCCACCCCGCCTCGGCGCTCTCCCCGGCCACCCCGCCTCGGCGCTCTCCCCGGCCACCCCGCCTCGGCGCTCTCCCCGGCCACCCCGCCTCGGCGCTCTCCCCGGCCACCCCGCCTCGGCGCTCTCCCCGGCCACCCAGCCTCGGCGCTCTCCCCGGCCACCCAGCCTCGGCGCTCTCCCCGGCCACCCAGCCTCGGCGCTCTCCCCGGCCACCCAGCCTCGGCGCTCTCCCCGGCCACCCAGCCTCGGCGCTCTCCCCGGCCACCCAGCCTCGGCGCTCTCCCCGGCCACCCAGCCTCGGCGCTCTCCCTGGCCACCCAGCCTCGGCGCTCTCCCTGGCCACCCAGCCTCGGCGCTCTCCCTGGCCACCCAGCCTCGGCGCTCTCCCTGCCACCAGCCTCGGCGCTCTCCCTGGCCACCCAGCCTCGGCGCTCTCCCTGGCCACCCAGCCTCGGCGCTCTCCCTGGCCACCCAGCCTCGGCGCTCTCCCCGGCCACCCAGCCTCGGCGCTCTCCCTGGCCACCCAGCCTCGGCGCTCTCCCTGGCCCACCCAGCCTCGGCGCTCTCCCTGGCCACCCAGCCTCGGCGCTCTCCCTGGCCACCCAGCCTCGGCGCTCTCCCTGGCCACCCAGCCTCGGCGCTCTCAGTGGCCACCCAGCCTCGGCGCTCTCCCTGGCCACCCAGCCTCGGCGCTCTCCCTGGCCACCCAGCCTCGGCGCTCTCCCTGGCCACCCAGCCTCGGCGCTCTCCCTGGCCACCCAGCCTCGGTGCTCTCCCTGGCCACCCAGCCTCGGCGCTCTCTCTGGCCACCCAGCCTCGGCGCTCTCTCTGGCCACCCAGCCTCGGTGTTTTCTGGCCACTCAGCCTCGGTGTTTTCTGGCCACCTGGTTGGAAGGTTAGTGCCCACAATCTCAAGGAGAGGCAGAAATGTTGCAGCCACATTGAGCTTAAACTTCACCCCCCACCCGTTCTGTGATCTGCCATCACCCTGTTACGATTCCGTGAGTTACTGTATTTTCCCGCACATCACGCACGCCTTTTCCCCCCAAAAAATTTTTGGAAAATCAGCCTGTACCTTATATGATCAAGATCAGAGTCAAGGATAGGCTTTGTGTTATGTTTTATCAGTTGTTTACTAACTTTACATATCAACTGCTTGCAAACATCACCTTATATGATCGTGAACCTCATATGCCAGAAAATACAAAACAGAAAATTTTATGTCAGCACACTTCTGGCAAGATAGTAACTGAATGTGATAAATGGTTTACAAAACTAACAAGTTGAAGACTGAGACACTTGTGTGACACTTGGAAATCTTCACTGAAAACGTCACTGGCTGGTGAAACATTTTCTGAAATAAAGATTCTCAAATGTTGCATAAATATCTCATTCTTCAACTGAATGAATGACCAGAGTATCTTTCTTTCATCACCTTGCATGTTGAGACACACCAAATGAAAAATCAACTAGTCAAGAATGCGTTACCTTGTAGACAGCAGTTGCCTGAGGTCTGCCGACTGCCATCACTTCTTGTGTAATACAAATGGACCCCGACCCCATACCCACACGCAGACCGTCTACTCCTGCATCAATTAGATTCTTCGCCTGGGCGGCTGTCACCACTAAGGAGTAAAGAAATAATAATTTTTTCAACATGTCGGCAGTCACCCACCGAGGCAGGATGACCCAAAAAAGAAAAACACTTTCACCATCATTCACACAATATCACTGTCTTTGCAGAGGCACCAGATATGACAGTTTAGATGTCACTCCAAACAGCCAATATGCCAAACTCCTCTAAAGTGCAGGCACTGTACTTCCCACCTCTAGGACCCAAGTACAGCTAACTGGTTTCCTTGAATCCCTTCACAAAATATTACCCTGCTCACACTCCAACATCTTGTCTGGTCCCAAAATCCATTTGTCTCCATTCACTAACACGCTCACACACACATGCCTTTTTCGAAGCAACAAGCACCTTATTCATTTTATTGTACACAAATACACGTCATAACACATCATAACCAATAAAGTATAGTTTAACAAGGCAAATACTAACAGGAATATTTAAATCAAGGCTCGCTAATATAAATTACTGGTGGACTTTACTGTGATTAATAAATAGCATTCAGTGTGAATGAGAAAAGTATTGGTTTGGAAACAGTAGCAGATGAATGGAACAGTCTACCTAGTAGGGTTATTGAAGCTAAAACCTTGGGTAGTTTCAAATATAGGTTAGATAAATACTTGAGTGAGAGGGGTTGGATCTGAGTGTGACTTGCACATCAGTTAATAGTGTTATCAAAGTTTATTATTGAGTTGGGCATATATTTTTTAAGTGGGTTTGAATTTGAGAAAGACCTGTCTAGTATGGGCCAGTAGGCCTCCTGCAGTGTTCCTCCTTTCTTATGGTTTGTCCCATAATGCTCAACTAACAGGCATGTTGAAAATAATATAGAATTCTGACATGATGAATAAGACACCATGGAGCTGAACTCTTCTCCAAACTTTCTCCAAACTTCATGGACTGATTACATCTTTACCTCACCATAACTCCTGTCTACAATATATTATGAACAAAGACACAATACCGCTACTGGAACAATATACATAACCTGCACATAGGGTAAAGTAACTTATGACAATATTTTGGTCCAATTTGGATCATTAACTAGCCACACACTAACACACTAGCTTTACCTTCTTGTGTTAATGAGTTGATGGTCCAAGTCCAGCCGAAACGTCGTCTTAAGTTTCTATGTTCGGGTTATTTGTGTACTGTTCCAGCCACGGTATTGTGCCTTTGGTCATAATATAGTGTTGACAGCAGGAGTAATGGTGAGATAAACATGATGTAATCAGTCCATCAGCCTTGGAGAAATAGTTTGAGGGGTCAGTCCCTCAGCCTGAATGGACTCGGTACTTGACTGGTGAAGCCTATTGCAAAGGTGAAACGTTTCAACAATAAAAGCACCCAGTCGTTGCACCTGTCTTACTCATTATCCTCAACTAACACAACTGTTACTTTATTCATTACATATTATAATCTGCTGCCTTTGTGTTAGAATTTCCTTCATTTCAAAAAGGATAAACTAAATAATGATCTCACCATTGCCGCCAATTATTTGTAGCTCCGGATAGGTTGTTTTGATATAACGAATCAGATTAATCTGATATATCGAGTTGCCTTGTGATGAATCCTGGAAAAAAAAAAGAAAAAAAAAAAAAAGTCATATATAGCACTAATATCAATTAATATAACAGTTAAAAATATATATAAATTTGACCTTGGCAATTAATATCTATTATTGTGGTACTGACCACCTACTCCTAGGCTGAGGGACTGATTATCTAATCTTACACCTTTCCAATCATTTGTATTGCACTGATAAAGTTACTGATTGGCAAAACATCTATACCTCTGATGAGTTTCGAGTGTTTTTTTACTCCTGGAGCCTAGCTGTGGGCCAGGCTTGTCTACGTAGTAAAAATACCCAAATGTTGCACATGTATCTAAATTATCACAAAGATAGCAAGGAGTTGCATGAAGATTCTGGGAAAGGGAGAATGTCATGGCAACCCACAACCCATTTTAGACCAGGCTTCCTGGATGGTCTAATAACCAGGATACTGGTACTAGCACGGCAACCCACAATCCAGTATTGGACCAGGCTTCCTGGATGGTCTAATCAACCAGACAACTGTTACTATCATGGCAACCCACAACCCAATTTTAGACCAGGCTTTCTGGATTGTCTACTCAACCAGGCTACTAGTACTAGCCACAACCAGTCTATCCACAACAGCCCAAATGCACAGGAACTAATTTGAGGATGATTTAGTCTCCTCTTAGAGACAGCCAGAGGTCTGTTGGCAATTCCTGTTATGTATGGTGATGAGTCTTGGGCTCTATATTTGTAAACTTACTGTACTTATTACACCCAGTTTTAAATGGGATCTGTAGCACCCTCTGCCAAGCCTTGTGCTGTCTTTGGGGACAAATTCTCTTAAAACACAGCTAGCAGACACCAATTAATTTTGCTAACTGGGCAATTTCAGTTGGCAGAATTTCAGACAAAAAGTACTGACTAAAATATTTGGCAGAAAATACAAATCTAACGCAAATATAAATGAATTACGGATGTTTCTCACTTCACGATGGTTCAACTCAAAATATTTTCACTTTACAATGGCCAGTATCTACGCAATTTTTTTTGTACTGTATAGTACAGAACATTTATTGATAAGATCAACTTGTAATCAGTTTACCTACCAAATTAAAAAATGGCAAAAATGAATGTTTTTCTTACCAAGACGACGACATCAACTCCGGGGGTGATAATAATTCTAGTCGAGCTTATCCACTCTTTTTACCCCCTGCTGCCCAACCCAAGCTGGTTTTTGGAGTAAGAAACATTGGGGAAGTTCCGGGGCTTTTAAGATCGTACGCGCTATGAGGCCACAAGTTCCCCGTGTTTATTATTTTGGCAAAATTTTCTGTAAATAGTTGATAAAAAAGGAATAAAATACTGACAAATTGATACATAAATACACATGATAAATACAGATAAAATATCATGATAAAATATGCCCGATAATATATACCCAATAATAAATACCCGATACAGGGCCCCAACCTTTCATCCGAAATTATGAAAATGGGAAAAATTTAAAACTGAAGATATTCTGGTGTGGAAACCCCGTCACACGGCTGGGTCACGCTGCCCCCTGGCGGCGTTAAGAACATCCCGAAAATTCGAAAAATTCTGAAATTCGAAAATATACTGGCCCCAAGGGTTTTTGGTAAAGGGTTGGACCTGTAAAATTTTACCCGGGGAAATACTGAAGGGCCTAGCCCAAATCTGCACACTGTCATAAAAATCAGTATACTGGAGGAGAGATAGGGAAAGTGCAAAATAAACCCAGTGAGGAGCAGGGGTGCAGTGGGGACAATAAGGGAACACTATCAACATTCGGGGGTTCCCGACTTTCAACATTTGCAGAAGATATCGAAACACGGTGGTACAAGTGTAGAAGTCTTTCAAGAGGAAATGGACAAGTAAAAATTCACCGGGGCCCGATCAAAAGACGTGATGGATATGTGGGGAAGCAGGCCACGCAAAAGCCTGGTTGACCAGCAAGCACCAGACAGCCTGGCCCCTGGCAGCTCCAAGAGCAGTGATTCCGAAAAATCATCAAGGAAAAAGGGCCCCCATGTAGCTGAATTTTCCCAGGCTGAGGGGCTGACTACCTCAAAAACTATTTCTCCAAGGTGCCAGACTGTTTCATCTTACTTCACCTATACCTGCTCCCTATCCGACTAAAAAACCTACGTGAAGCAAACATTTAAAAAAACGATACCCAACTGTTGCCAGGTCATAAGCTTACTGACCAAGTAGTTTTCATAAAATAATTTGCATCTTAAAATAGAGGGGATAGAACCCATGTAACAAGAAAAATTTCTTTTTTTCGGGTTACCCCCCGGCCCCGTGGGAGCCTCAGGGGTGCAAAAAATTTTTTAAAAAATAAAATAGAAAATTTTGGTAGAGGGTTTGGGAGCAGCAACCCCCAGGAAGCTACCCTCCTCCAATGATGTGAAACAAAAACCTTTTAACTGTTTGATGATGGTAGGATTTTTTTTTTTCTGTCTCAAAACCGCAAGATAAAGGATATCTTGCACTCCTACTTTCACTTTTGGGCACACTTCACAGACACCACATGCATTATATATAACATCTCTAGGTTTTTTTCCTTTTTTTAAATAGCTCTTGTTCTTTTTTATTTCTTCTATTGTCCATGGGGAAGTGGAAAAGAATCTTTCCTCCGTAAGCCAAATGCGTGTCGTATGAGGCGACTAAAATGCCGGGAGCAAGGGGCTAGTAACCCCTTCTCCTGTATACAATTACTAAAAAAGAGAAGAAGAAAAACTTTATAAAACTGGTTGCTTAAATGTGCGTGGATTAGTGCGGATGACAAGAAACAGATGATTGCTGATGTTATGAATGAAAAGAAGTTGGATGTCCTGGCCCTAAGCGAAACAAAGCTGAAGGGGTAGGAGAGTTTCAGTGGGGGAAATAAATGGGATTAAATCTGGAGTATCTGAGAGAGTTAGAGCAAAGGAAGGGGTAGCATAATGTTAAATGATCATTATGGAAGGAAAAAAGAGAATATGAATGTGTAAATTCAAGAATTATGTGGATTAAAGTAAAGGTTGGATGCGAGAAGTGGGTCATAATAAGCGTGTATGCACCTGGAGAAGAGAGGAATGCAGAGGAGAGAGAGAGATTTTGGGAGATGTTAAGTGAATGTATAGGAGCCTTTGAACCAAGTGAGAGAGTAATTGTGGTAGGGACTTGAATGCTAAAAGTAGGAGAAACTTTTAGAGAGGGTGTGGTAGGTAAGTTTGGGGTGCCAGGTGTAAATGATAATGGGAGCCCTTTGATTGAACTTTGTATAGAAAGGGGTTTAGTTATAGGTAATACATATTTTAAGAAAAAGAGGATAAATAAGTATACACGATATGATGTAGGGCGAAATGACAGTAGTTTGTTGGATTATGTATTGGTAGATAAAAGACTGTTGAGTAGACTTCAGGATGTACATGTTTATAGAGGGGCCACAGAATATATCAGATCACTTTCTAGTTGTAGCTACACTGAGAGTAAAAGGTAGATGGGATACAAGGAGAATAGAAGCATCGGGGAAGAGAGAGGTGAAGGTTTATAAACTAAAAGGGGAGGCAGTTAGGGTAAGATATAAACAGCTATTGGAGGATAGATGGGCTAATGAGAGCATAGGCAATGGGGTCGAAGAGGTATGGGGTAGGTTTAAAAATGAGTGTTAGAGTGTTCACAGAAGTTTGTGGTTATAGGAAAGTGGGTGCAGGAGGGAAGAGGAGCGATTGGTGGAATGATGATGTAAAGAGAGTAGTAAGGGAGAAAAAGTTAGCATATGAGAAGTTTTTACAAAGTAAAGTGATGCAAGGAGGGAAGAGTATATGAGAAAAAGAGAGAAGTTAAGAGAGTGGTGAAGCAATGTAAAAAGAGAGCAAATGAGAGAGTGGGTGAGATGTTATCAACAAATTTTGTTGAAAATAAGAAAAAGTTTTGGAGTGAGATTAACAAGTTAAGAAAGCCTAGAGAACAAATGGATTTGTCAGTTAAAAATAGGAGAGGAGAGTTATTAAATGGAGAGTTAAGGTATTGGGAAGATGGAAGGAATATTTTGAGGAATTGTTAAATGTTGATGAAGATAGGGAAGCTGTGATTTCGTGTATAGGGCAAGGAGGAATAACATCTTGTAGGAGTGAGGAAGAGCCAGTTGTGAGTGTGGGGGAAGTTCGTGAGGCAGTAGGTAAAATGAAAGGGGGTAAGGCAGCCGGATTGATGGGATAAAGATAGAAATGTTAAAAGCAGGTGGGGATATAGTTTTGGAGTGGTTGTGCAATTATTTAATAAATGTATGGAAGAAGGTAAGGTACCTAGGGATTGGCAGAGAGCATGCATAGTTCCTTGTATAAAGGCAAAGGGGATAAAAGAGAGTGCAAAAATTATAGGGGATAAGTCTGTTGAGTGTACCTGGTAAAGTGTATGGTAGAGTTATAATTTGAAAGAATTAAGAGTAAGACGGAGAATAGGATAGCAGATGAACAAGGAGGCTTAGGAAAGGTAGGGGGTGTGTGGACCAGGTGTTTACAGTGAAACAAAATAAGTGAACAGTATTTAGATAAGGCTAAAGAGGTCTTTGTGGCATTTATGGATTTGGAAAAGGCGTATGACAGGGTGGATAGGGGGCAATGTGGCAGATGTTGCAAGTGTATGGTGTAGGAGGTAGGTTACTGAAAGCAGTGAAGATTTTTTTAACGAAGATAGTGAGGCTCAAGTTAGAGTATGTAGGAAAGAGGGAAATTTTTTCCCAGTAAAAGTAGGCCTTAGACAAGGATGTGTGATGTCACCGTGGTTGTTTAATATATTTATAGATGGGGTTGTAAGAGAAGTAAATGCGAGGGTCTTGGCAAGAGGCGTGGAGTTAAAAGATAAAGAATCACACACAAAGTGGGAGTTGTCACAGCTGCTCTTTGCTGATGACACTGTGCTCTTGGGAGATTCTGAAGAGAAGTTGCAGAGATTGGTGATGAATTTGGTAGGGTGTGCAAAAGAAGAAAATTAAAGGTGAATACAGAAAGAGTAAGGTTATGAGGATAACAAAAAGATTAGTGATGAAAGATTGAATATCAGATTGGAGGGAGAGAGTATGGAGGAGGTGAACGTATTCAGATATTTGGGAGTGGACGTGTCAGCAGATGGGTCTATGAAAGATGAGGTGAATCATAGAATTGATGAGGGAAAAAGAGTGAGTGGTGCACTTAGGAGTCTGTGGAGACAAAGAACTTTGTCCTTGGAGGCAAAGAGGGGAATGTATGAGAGTATAGTTTTACCAACGCTCTTATATGGGTGTGAAGCGTGGGTGATGAATGTTGCAGCGAGGAGAAGGCTGGAGGCAGTGGAGATGTCATGTCTGAGGGCAATGTGTGGTGTGAATATAATGCAGAGAATTCGTAGTTTGGAAGTTAGGAGGAGGTGGGGGATTACCAAAACTGTTGTCCAGAGGGCTGGGGAAGGGTTGTTGAGGTGGTTCGGACATGTAGAGAGAATGGAGCGAAACAGAATGACTTCAAGAGTGTATCAGTCTGTAGTGGAAGGAAGGCGGGTAGGGGTCGGCCTAGGAAGGGTTGGAGGGAGGGGGTAAAGGAGGTTTGTGTGCGAGGGGCTTGGACTTCCAGCAGGCATGCGTTGAGCGTGTTTGATAGGAGTGAATGGAGACAAATGGTTTTTAATACTTGACGTGCTGTTGGAGTGTGAGCAAAGTAACATTTATGAAGGGATTCAGGAAACCGGCAGGCCGGACTTGAGTCCTGGAGATGGGAAGTAACAGTGCCTGCACTCTGAAGGAGGGGTGTATTAATGTTGCAGTTTAAAAACTGTAGTGTAAAGCACCCTTCTGGCAAGACAGTGATGGAGTGAATGATGGTGAAAGTTTTTCTTTTTCGGGCCACCCTGCCTTGGTGGGAATCGGCCGGTGTGATAATAATAAAAAAAAATTAAAATAGAACATAGAAAACAGTATTTGTTACTCCCAATATTTAAAACAGTAGTCAATGCTAACAATATCCACCATACTGAGGTTAACCATAGAATTGATGAAGGAAAAAAGGCGAGTGGTGCATTGAGGTATATGTGGAGACAAAAAAAACGTTATCAATGGAGGCAAAGAAGGGAATGTATGAAAGTATAGTAGTACCAACACTCTTATATGGTTGTGAAATTTGGGTTGTAAATGTTGCAGCGAGGAGGCGGTTGGAGGCAGTGGAGATGTCCTGTCTAAGGGCAATGTGTGGTGTAAATATTATGTAGAGAATTCAAAGTGTGGAAATTAGGAGGTGTGGAGTTGATAAAAGTATTAGTCAGAGGGCTGAAGAGGGGTTGTTGAGGTGGTTTGGTCATTCAGAGAGAATGGATCAAAGTAGAATGACATGGAGAGTGTATAAATCTGTAGGGGAAGGAAGGCAGGGTAGGGGTCGGCCTCAAAAAGGTTGGAGGGAGGGGGTAAAGGAGGTTTTGTGGGCGAGGGGCTTGGACTTCCAGCAAGCGTGTACGAGCATGTTAGATAAGAGTGAATGGAGACAAGTGGTATTTGGGACCTGACGAGCTGTTGGAGTGTGAGCAGGGTAATATTTAGTGAAGGAATTCAGGGAAACCGGTTATTTTTATACGTATAGCCGGACTTGAGTTCTGGAAATGGGAAGTACAATGCCTGCACTTTAAAGGAGGGGTTTGGGATATTGGCAGTTTGGAGAGATATGTAATAGGATGATATATAATTGGGGCCCTGATATTCTGATTATTTCAGGTCACTTTTTATATTGTATCTTTATATATGCTTCTAAACTGTTATATCTGGGCACCTCTGCAAAAACACTGATTATGTATGAGTGAGGTGAAAGTGTTGAATGATGATGAAAGTATTTTCTTTCTGGGGATTTTTTCCTTTTTGGGTCACCCTGCCTCAGTGGGAGATGGCCGATTTGTTGGAAAAGAAAAACAAAGAGAACAAGACTGAAAACTACAGTATTTGTTACTCTCCATATTTAAGACAATAGTCATTCTAACAATTCCCACCACCTTTATTTTACCTTTCTTAGATCGCTGTAATATCTCATTAGCTTTGTCAAGACTGCCCCCTGCTGGGGCAGTTACCAGGTCGTCAAATGGGGTCATGATTTCAGACAGCAGTTTGTCGGAATTTGGGTCCAAGAAGTCTATATCTCTGGATGTGACAATACCAAGCAATCTAGTGCCCATCTTGCCATCTTCTGTGATTGGAATACCGCCGAATCCGTGTTTTTTTTTTACATTAAATACATCCAAAACCTGCAGAAAAAAATGTTATTGGATTATTTGAACTGGCAGAAATAATAACAAGAAATATGATGTTACATATATATATTTTTTAACACAGCCATTTCCCACTGAGGCAGGGTAACCCAAAAAAGAAACACTTACATCATCATTCACACTATCACTGTCTTGCCAGAGGCTCACAGACGCAACAGTTCAGATGTCACTCTGAACAGCAAGTATGCACTAGAAAATATACAAAGGGATGACAGTGTTATTCCCACAAATTGGAAACGTTTCCTATGAAGATTGACTGAAGGCAATGAATTTGCACTACAGAAACATGTAGAATTAGGGAAAGAGTCGATTGAAATACACAGATGAAGAAGAGAAATAAATGGGATATAAATTCTGTGCTTATATAGATATACCCAAATTCTCACAGCTTCAAATTTGCTGCGAGAGGCCTGGTAAGTTCAAGCATGAGAAACAGATCTATATATGTAGTCTATGTCTGCAGTATGAAAAAAGTGAATTGTGGGGATGCCATTTTAGCTTGCCCAAGTCAGGACTTGCAGCAATGGATTTAAATTGGACAAACGCATACTCGCACCACGGGGAAGTGAAGAATTCTTCCTCTAAGTCACGTGTGTCAGAAGTGAAGACTAAATACCGGGAGCAAGATGCTAGTAACATCTTCTTGTGTATATGTAAATTATTAACCCGTAAACGGTCCAAACGTATATATACGTTTTTTTCAACATTTGAATATGCAAAAAAGTAGATCTTTTTGTTTTTCTACATTTGAAAATGTGTAAAAAAACTTTGATCTACTATTTTTTTTGTTATATTTGAAAATATGAAAAAAAAAAAACATAGATCTACTTTTGTAGCGCTACACATGTGAACGTAGATCTGCTTGGACCGTTTATGGGTTACATGTGAAAAGAAGAAAAGCTTTCACTTCTTTCTTGGGTCACCCAACTTCAGTGGGCGACGGCACATGTTCAAATAAAAGCTTCCTACATAAAATCAATAACTGGCAATTCATTACGTAGGATTAAATGCCAAGCAAATAAGTCTTCGGTATTTATTGTTGAGTGCTATGAACTGTTACGGTTAACGCCACATGACAATAAACAAGATACTTGTGCAACAGTTTGGTATCTTATATGACCAGATGTTGTGCCTGCTCAGCAGCTTCTTCAGCTGAAATACAGTGCAGGCAACACAAGTCATGGGGACGTAGATAAGGTGATCAGTCCCTCAACAAGAGCTACACAGCACTATCTAATGGTTCTTCTTTCAACACACCGGTCATATCCCACCAAGTCAGGGTGCCCCAATAAGAAAATCAAAGGTTTCTCTTTATAAATTTAGTAATATATACAAGAGAAGGGGTTATTAGCCTCTTGCTCCCAGCATTTTAGTTGCCTCTTATGACAATCATGGCTTATGGAGGAAGAATTCTGTTCCATTTCCCTATGGAGATAAAAGGAAATGAACAAGAACTAGTAAGACAAGAGAAGAAAACCCAGAGGGTTGTGTGCATATATATATGCTTGTGCATGCATGCATAGTGTGATCTAATGGTAAAATAATGTACAACAATTACAGGTTTCTGTTTTACACTCACTTGACAAGATGATAGTACCTCCCTGGACGGTTGCTATCTACTAACCTACTACCTAAGTATCTAATGGTTATAATTATAAATTTTAAAAGGGTAGAGGGGCAAGCCAGTGAAAGGCATCAGTCAAGTGACCAAAAGCTCCAGCAGTGGGTCATCACATGACTAAGACCAACATCAGGAAACACTCGTCCAGTTTCCTGATGAACCTATCCAAGACCCTCAGTCTTGATGCATGTTCAGCTTTGACGGGTGTGAAGCTGAAGCATGAATGATGAGTACAGTGGACCCCCGGTTTACGATCAGCTCCCAATGCGACCAATTATGTAAGTGTATTTATGTAAGTGTATTTATGTAAGTACGTTTGTATGTGTATGTTTGGGGGTCTGAAATGGACTAATCTAATTCACAATATTCCTTATGGGAACAAATGAACAAATTCAGTCAGTACTGGCAACCTGAACATACTTCTGGAATGAAATATCGTAAACCGGGGTACACTGTATTTTAAACTGGCAAAAATGAAGAAAGGCATACAGGAGCACTGCAGCAGGCCTACTGGCCCATGCTAGGTAGGACCAACTTACTCAAGAAGAAGCACTACAGCAAGCCTACTGGGCCATGCTAGGCAGATGCTCAAAACCAAATCTTCTCACTCTAAATAGTGGTTAAAATACCAGGTATTATAAGATGCCCTCTATACCAAGATACCATAGTGATGTTATGCCACACCAAGACTGAGGGACTAACCACCTCAAACTTTCTGTACTTCCCTCTCCTTCCTGAAGGACTGATTACCACATACCTCCACAACCTCTGCTGTCTCTTCTGCATTTTGACTGAAGAAGCCTATTGAGTATGCAAGATATCTTGTCAGTAAAGTTACTAACCTGTCAGACATTTTTTTTTTTTTTTCAACAAGTCGGCCGTCTCCTACCGAGGCAGGGTGACCCAAAAAGAAAGAAAATCCCAAAAAGAAAATACTTTCATCATCATTCAACACTTTCACCTCACTTACACATAATCACTGTTTTTGCAGAGGTGCTCAGAACACAACAGTTTAGAAGCATATACGTATAAAGATACACAACATATCCCTCCAAACATGTCTTACTAATACACTTGTTTTTATGTGTGTTGGCACAGCTTTGGCAAGACAGTGATGGAGTGAGTGATGATGAAAGTGTTTCTTCTTTTTTGGGTCACTCTGCCTCAGTGGGAGATGGCCAATGTGTTAATGAAAATAATAATCATTCACTGGAGCAAAATAGATGGCACAGTAATGTGAATATTGTGGGAGTGGGGTTGTGTAGTTTTTTCTGTGAATTTAATATAAAATTACTGTTATACCCTCAAGCTCTTGGTCCCAACAATTCTGCGATAATGAGATTAAAGTGTCACTCGAGTAGAGGTGCTCCTAGACTTACTATGGGCTTATAATTTCTTTTTCCCAACAACACATGAACACATTATGGACCTTTTGTATTGTGTATATATATTGTACACAATGATATAATAATGATATTATACACAAGATTCTCAATGCGTCTGTAAGTCGTGGATTTACTTTATAATTTTTTCTAACACGGTGGCCATCTCCCACCGAGTCAGGGTGATAAAAAAAAAAAAATTACTTTCACCATCATTCACACATATCACTATTTGCAGACGTGCAGATACAACAGTTCAGATGTCACTACACAGCAAATATCCCAAATTCCTCCTTTAAAGTCTAGGCATTGTACTTCCCACCTCCAGGACTCAAGTTCAGCTAACCAGTTTCCCAGAATTGCTCCACAAAATATTACCCTGATCACACTAAGTAAATAAATTACAGTCACTGAATAAGTAAATAGTTAATTACTTTAACAAAATACAAGTTTATCTTATCAATACATGTACAGTACTGTACAGAGACTTGTAAATGGTCCAAGGAAGTCCAAAACATTATTGTGAGCTCTCTCTCTCATGTAAGAGCTACACGTGTACAGTGCTGTACAGCATCGCTATCACACCAAAGTCAAAACATCAAAAGCCGAACCATCATAAAGTCGAAATATTGTAAGTGGAACCATCATAAAGTGAGAAGCATCGGTATGGTGAAGAGGAGACTAACAATTCAGAAAAATGTTACATACAATACTAGAAACATAAAAAGAAGCCAAGACTAACCCTATGATGCGGAGTAAGACAGACGGGGTCTCGAATGAAGCCGTGTTTATATTTTTTCACTTTCATCACCTCTTGTGCCTGGAACTCTGGAGAACAGTTGTGGTGGATGATTCCTATCCCTCCACAAAGCTGGAAAAAAACATGTCTTACATATATAACTTTTTTTTTTTTTTTTTTTTTTTTCTTCAACAAGTCGGCCGTCTCCCACCGAGGCAGGGTGACATATTTACCCTAATTGAAGGTAATAAACACAACATAATATAGTACTTGAACAAGTGGTATATCAGTGATTTAAGATAATATAAACATAATATAGTACGAACAGACGTCTGTACATTATATTCAGGAAAACATTCTGGTAAGCAAAAGGGAATCACAGTGTTAGAGAATACAAATAAGGTCCATTTATTGTCTTTTCAGGCATTTAAGGTGCACAACAGAATTATCATAATGGTAATTCAGTAATCACATTCAAGGTAAAAATCAACCTCTTCATGCTAAAGTGTAACATGAAGTCTACTCTTGACTCTGACCTTGAGCACAAAAGGCACAGGCTGAGTTTCCAAGAAATTTTGTGGGGAAAAAAACACGCCTTATGTGCCGCAAAATATGGTAATTATCGAGAACTTAGTAGGGCAGTGTTTTGCAGTCAGTTCAACAGATGACCCACCAGCAGTTGAAGGCTTATATGGTATAACCTCTCCGCACCTGCCTTGAAACAAGGCTAAATACTTCAAACACTGTAGAGATAGAACCCCAACATATGCAGCACCTACTCTCGGCTTTCCACTGAGCCATTGCTCATTATGTTCCACCTGCCGGTGACTACTGCTGGCAGATCGAACATAATGAACAATGTCTCACTTTCAAGCCAATGAAAAACGAACACCATAAAGAAGGTAGTGCACGTGCGGGTCCCTTTTCAACAGACAATACTTGTGTAGTACATATTTAGTATATATGTAAAATGAAAGGGGGAAAGGCAGCCGGGATTGATGGGATAAAGATAGAAATGTTAAAAGCAGGTGGGGATATAGTTTTGGAGTGGTTGGTGCAATTATTTAATAAATGTATGGAAGAGGGTAAGGTACCTAGGGATTGGCAGAGAGCATGCATAGTTCCTTTGTATAAAGGCAAAGGGGATAAAAGAGAGTGCAAAAATTATAGGGGGATAAGTCTGCTGAGTATACCTGGTAAAGTGTATGGTAGAGTTATTATTGAAAGAATTAAGAGTAAGACGGAGAATAGGATAGCAATGAACAAGGAGGCTTTAGGAAAGGTAGGGATGTGTGGACCAGGTGTTTACAGTGAAACATATAAGTGAACAGTATTTAGATAAGGCTAAAGAGGTCTTTGTGGCATTTATGGATTTGGAAAAGGCGTATGACAGGGTGGATAGGGGGCAATGTGGCAGATGTTGCAAGTGTAATGGTGTAGGAGTGGTTACTGAAAGCAGTGAAGAGTTTTTACGAGGATAGTGAGGCTCAAGTTAGAGTATGTAGGAAAGAGGGAAATTATTTCCCAGTAAAAGCAGGCCTTAGACAAGGCTGTGTGATGTCACTGTGGTTGTTTAATATATTTATAGATGGGTTGTAAGAGAAGTAAATGCGAGGGTCTTGACAAGAGGCGTGGAGTTAAAAGATAAAGAATCACACACAAAGTGGGAGTTGCCCACAGCTGCTCTTTGCTGATGACACTGTGCTCTTGGAGATTCTGAAGAGAAGTTGCAGAGATTGGTGGATGAATTTGGTAGGGTGTGCAAAAGAAAAAAATTAAAGGTGAATACAGGAAAGAGTAAGGTTATGAGGATAACAAAAAGATTAGGTGATGAAAGATTGAATATCAGATTGGGGGGAGAGAGTATGGAGGAGGTGAATGTATTCAGATATTTGGGAGTGGACGTGTCAGCGGGTGGGTCTATGAAAGATAGGTGAATCATAGAATTGATGAGGGAAAAAGAGTGAGTGGTGCACTTAGGATCTGTGGAGACAAAGAACTTTGTCCTTGAGGGAAAGAGGGAATGTATGAGAGTATAGTTTTACCAACGCTCTTATATGGGTGTGAAGCATGGGTGATGAATGTTGCAGCGAGGAGAAGGCTGGAGGCAGTGGAGATGTCATGTCTGAGGGCAATGTGTGGTGTGAATATAATGCAGAGAATTCGTAGTTTGGAAGTTAGGAGGAGGTGCGGGATTACCAAAACTGTTGTCCAAGGGCTGAGGAGGGTTGTTGAGGTGGTTCGGACATGTAGAGAGAATGGAGCGAAACAGAAGACTTCAAGAGTGTATCAGTCTGTAGTGGAAGGAAGGCGGGTAGGGGGCGGCCTAGGAAAGGTTGGAGAGAGGGGGTAAAGGAGGTTTTGTGTGCGAGGGGCTTGGACTTCCAGCAGGTATGCATGAGCGTGTTTGATAGGAGTGAATGGAGACAAATGGTTTTTAATACTTGACGTGCTGTTGGAGTGTGAGCAAAGTAACATTTATGAAGGGTTCAGGAAACCGGCAGCCGGACTTAGAGTCCTGGAGATGGGAAGTACAGTGCCTGCACTCTGAAGGAGGGTGTTAATGTTGCAGTTTAAAAACTGTAGTGTAAAGCACCCTTCTGGCAAGACAGTGATGGAGTGAATGATGGTGAAAGTTTTTTTTTTGGGCCACCCTGCCTTGGTGGGAATGGCCAGGTAAATAAAAAAATTTTTTATTTCCTTTTCAGGTAAATGTTTTCCCCAGTATATTCAATCGATAGACCAGAACAAAACCCAATTATTTTGGCAACTTTTAAAAGTTTTTTTAGGCTTTAAATCAAAATTTCGTGATTTACACTCACCAATGCCAATTTGATGTCAATTCATGGAAAAAGCCCCAAAAAAGGGTCAAAACCATGTTTTTTTTTTTTTTTTTTTTTATTTTTTTTTTTTTTTTTTGTTTTTTTTTTTCTTGGCCCATGCTGATGTCAGGCCCGGGAAAAAAGAAAAAACTCATGGAAGTATGCGTGAAAAACCATGGGGAAAAATAAAATTTTTATTTCAGCATATATAATGTTTGCACAGATGTAACGACACTTAAAACCCCAAAAAAAAAGAACAGCGAAAAAGGTGGTGATTGCTGGCCCTCTTGTATTTGTGCAACACAATGCCTAATTTTACATGCTGGGCTAAATTTCAGTACAGTAGTATAGGGAATCAAAAATTAAATTTCCAAAATGGTTTTTAAGGGCCTTTTTTTTTTTGGAGCTGCAAGAATACAGCCTCTCCTACTTAACAATGGAGTTCCTTGCAAGACCATGTTGTAAATAAAAGTCAAAAAACGGATCATATTTAAAATGGTAGGGGGTTGCAACCACCTTGATATTGTTTTGGGGTTTTCCCTGTACTTTTTAAAACATTTCTTTATATTCTTAATGTTTTATACAGTAGTGAAACTGAGTTTTGTAATAACAGAGAAGAGGAAATCAGCTCAATATACTTTATTTAGGTATAAATACTGGCAGAAACCCCGCAAAGTTCGATCATGGGTAAAGTACTTGCAGTGAGGAGAGGCTGTTACTATAATACATACTACTAGTAATAAAAATAATTAGTACAAATACTAGTAAAACATAAATACAATACTACTAGTTATAGTACTTCTGTGTGTGTATACCCTGAAAACCCTTTTGAAGAGTTTCGAGAGGTGTCTACCGAGCCCCTACCATGGTCCGGCTACCGGTGCTTGCCTGGAAACCCGGCTGTTGCTGCGGGGGCCCCCGCTGCCCCACATATCCTCACAGCCAAAGCTGACTGACACCTGGTGAAGTTTTTGTCTAGTTTCCCTTGAAGGTTTCTACCTTGTACCACCATTTTCTGATATCGTCGGTAAGATTTGAATATCTGGAACCCGGATTTTGATACAGTGTTCCTTATTTCCCCACTGCACCCCTGTTCCTCACGGGTTTATTTGCACTTTTGTTTAAACACAACAGTGTTAAGCACAAAATCCACTACTGGACTAAATACACATATAAGCTGCACAAGGAGAAAGAACCCCAAAATTTCATCTAACATGGAACAATAACAAGCCACACAGTAACACACGGCTCCCTTACCATCATGTGTTGTTTACCTGGAAAAATTTCCGGGGTTCAACCCCCCGCACCTGGTCTGTGACCAGGCCTCCTTTTTTCCCTGGATTTTACCTGGAGAGATTTTCCGGGGTTAAACCCCCCGCAGCCGGGTCTGTGACCAGCCTCCTAGTTTACCTGGAAGAGTTCCGGGGGTTAACCCCCCGGGGCCCCGGGTCTGTGACCGGGCCCCTCCTATTTACCGGGAAGAGTTCCGGATTCAACGCCCCCGCGGCCCCGGTCTGTGACCAGGCCCCTAGTTTACCGGGGATTTACCGGGAGAGTGTTTCCAGGGGTCAACGCCCCCGCGGCCCGGTCTGGACCAGGCCCCTTTTTTACCTGGATTTTTTCCTGGAGAGATTTTCCGGGGGTTCAACCCCCCCGCGGCCCGGTCGTGCCCAGGCCTCCGGTGGATCAGACCGATAAACGGGCGTTACGCTGGCTGCCCCAAAACCCAACGTATGAGCCACCCCCCGGCGGTCAGTGTGTCTAGTTAACCAAGTCCAGCCGAGACGTCGTGAGTTTCTTGTACGTGCAGATTTTTTTACGAACAATATTGTTTACCCACCACTTCCTCTGCTGTGAATCGATAAAGCCGGGAAAAATAATGAAGTCACTGTAATAAAAAATTTTTTTTTACAAACAGATGAAACAAGTATGACAATTATAATGCAACTTTAAAATTCCCTTTCCAGGGTAACACACAAAGTCATGACTTATTTACATTTATTTTTCCTGGATCACAAGCCTTCCCCGGGTTTTCCGGAATCACTAAGCCTTTACGGGGTTTCCTGGATCACTAAGCCTTCCCCGGGGTTACCTGGGTCACTAAGCCTTTACGGTTATCCTGGATCACAACCTTCCCTGGGTTACCTGGATCACAAGCCTTCACTGGTTATCCCCGGATCACTAAGCCTTCACTGGGGATCCTTCACAACCTTCCCCGGGTTATCCCATCAAAACCTTCCTGGGGTTACCTGGATCACAACCCTTTTTACTGGGGTTTTCCTGGGTCACTAAACCTTCCCCGGGGTTTCCTGGATCACTAACCTTCACGGGGGTTTTCCGGATCACTAAGCCTTCCCCGGGGGTTTTCCTGGATCACAAGCTTCCCCGGGTTTCCTGGATCACTAAGCCTTTACTGGGTTACCCGGATCACTAAGCCTTCCCTGGGTTATCCTGGATATAAGCCCTTCCCCGGATATCCTGGGTCATTTAAACCCCCCTGGTTATCCGAAACACTAACCCTTCCCCGGTTTTTCCTACTTACTAACCCTTCCCTGGTTTTTCCCCAGTTACAAACCCTTCCCTGGGTTATCCTACTTACAAACCCTTCCCCCGGGGTTTTCCTAGCTTTCAAACCCTTCCCAGGGTTACCCAGCTTTCAAAAAACCCCTTTCCCCGGGTTATCCACTTTCAAACCCTGCCCTGGGTTTCCACTTACAACCCCTTCCCCCGGGTTATCCAGATTTAACAACAAAAAAAAAAAAGGCACAATAAACCGGACTGGAACAACACAAAAAACTCGCACATAGAAGAGGGGCTCACGACGACGTTTTTGGTCCCAAATTTGAAATGGCAAAGTCGGGCCGAAACGTCGTCGTAACTCCTCTTTTATTGGGGGGTTATTTGTGCATTTCCAATTACTAACACTTCCCTGGGTTCTCCTAATTTCTAAACCCTTCCCTGGGTTACCTGGGTTACTAACCCTTCCCCCGGGTTATCCTAATTATTTAAACC